TAAAATGTTTCTGGATTTTTGACTATTTAGCTTGAGAGAGGATTCAGAATAATTTATATTAAGGAATTGCATTAAAGAAAATTCATCTGATTAGATGAGAAACTCATTTTTGCAAATATGCATTAGATCTAAAGGGATTAATTTGGCAATCTACAGTCCAATCAGTCTAATGTCAGTGACTGGAGAACTACTATTTCCTCAACAGCTTGAGAAAATGGAAGACTTTCTGGTAAATCTTGATATACAATTTGTTGGAAAATGTTAATTTGCACAATCCTTTCAAGCGGTACAAAAGCTGTTCTTATTGTGGGAGAAACCAACTGAACCAACATCTCAAGTGGCCAATCTGCAATTATGGAAGAGCTGGGAAAGGGTCATTATTAAGATCTTCAGCTCCTGTCTAGTTGGAAAATAATTCAGACTGAAGAAAATCACAAAGATACAGAATTTTTTACAAGTTTTGAGCTTGTCAATTCAATGGATGACAGCATGTAAAGGGGTACATCTTGTTGAGCAGTGGGTTACATTCCCTACCTTTGTGCCAGATTCTTCAGGTTCAAGTCCTACTTCAGACATCAACTTGTAATCCTTCCAACCAATCAGAGAATGGGAAAAAAATCCTGCTCAGTCATGTGATAGAAACAACTTTGAGTCTGTACCATTACTCTAGGCTTGCAGGTGCATATAAAAGTGTACATTGCCACAGCAACCCAGAATCCTTGGGAAGGGTGTAGAGGGACAGGGGATGCATCTAAATCTAATTGATACCAGCAGCTTGGCTTTTGAACTCCCTTTCAGATGTGGTGGATTCTTGTCCTAGGTGTGGGGGAAGATCATAGCACTGTGGGTTTGAGCTGGCTTTGGTCAGGGAATTTGCAATGAAAAATAAAACTAGACCAGTATTAGGGCTAAATTTGCAGAAAGTCTCACTTTTGACAGAGTGACAGAGGTTAGCCGGAATTTCACTGGGAATCACACTGAGAAATGTGTTTCATTCTTTTGTATAAATACAAAAATGTTACATTTGTCTCATTAGGTTGCACATTAGCTCAGAGTCCAGAAGCTGGGGAAATGAACACGAATAATAAACACAGGTTTTCTTGTATACAATAGACGTAATTCTCCCTGTCCACGAAAAATACAGGCAAGGTTGGGAAAAAATGGCAAAATTAGAAAGATTTTATTTTTGTCATTGAGGAAAAAAAAGTCCAATTTGCCACCCAAGATGTGAAAGACAAGATTAGAATCTCATTGGTGAGCAACAAGGGGCCTATTTCCATGGATTTGTATTGAATAAGTAGCCAGTCTTGCCTCATTTATATGCAGTTTGCTATTCTCTCACTGGCCAGATAGAAACGAAAAGTTATCAGTTCAGTATATGAATGTCTGAACAGGAACTTGGTGGCTGTAGCTTTACCCTTGCTCCTTCAGATGCCCTCTTGATTAGAATTCCTTAAATCTCAGGGAACGCTCCATGGGTCATGACCACCTACATCCTTGATCTATGGAGACTGGCATTGTCTTACAATAGCCTCATTGCCTTACAATAGTCTCATTGCATCACACAACTCACTTAGAACATGGTTATCCACTTCAATGTTGCACTTTGGAGCTCGCCGACATATTGTAATGCTGCTGCCAGACTACTTAGGCACAGGAATAGGCACCTGTCTCATGAATTGCAGCTGAGTGCATCTCTGGTGCTTAGCATTCACCCACTTTGAACCTATTTGGATGCTCAAAGTATGTCCGTCTTGCCTTGCCTTGCCTTTTTGCATGTTGCGTCCTCATTCAGGACTTACCAACTCTCAATACTTCTACTGCGTTTTGTCTTTTTGGGCAGACACAAATTTGGATAACTTGTCATGGTTGTTAGAAATGATCAGACAAAGGTGTGGACATATTCCTGTACCGCATAATACTTCTTCAAATGTCATGCACGTGTGCATGGCCAACACAGTGCATGTGCTTCAACTCAATGGCCATGTTTCAAAATCTAAGTGAAGTTGTCGGGGTGATTGTTGTCAATCGGCGGCACTGGCACAATAAGTCAAGGGCATTATTCAACAACAGTTCATGGGCTTGGACATTGTCAGTCAGGTACTTGGGCTGATTAAAGTTGGGAATCCGTATCACTACAGTCTGGAGAGTTGGCCACCAACAGTCCTTTAGGTCTAGTACAACCGTTCTGAGGATCAGCAACAAGTCATTTAGGGAGCTGAATTTCTGTTCTTCAGAAGGCTTACTGGACCTGAAACATTAACTCTGCTTTCTCTCAACAGATGCTGCCAAACTGGCTGGGAGTTTCCAGCAGTTTCTGTTTTTGTTTTTGAGCTACACAGAGATCAGTCAGGGTCTGGTCACTCATCAATCAGGATTATCTTTCCAAGATGCTGATTAGAGTGGGCCATGATTGACCCAAGGCGTGTGCGCACTGAAAATCATGTGGGTTTATCAGGGGCCACTGTTGTAGAAGAGATGCTGGGGAATTCAATTGTGGGGATTGGAGGGAGCATGCTGGGATTTAGAGGTGACAACAATTGCAAAGGGGAGCAATTCAACATATACGGGTTAGAGACAATAAAACATGGCAGGGCAATGAGTACTGCGGTTGGGGAAGTGGGGTCATCTGCAGTATCTATCAACCTGGGTTCCACTGTGGCCTAACTAAGCTGTATGCCTGGGGCTCAGGGAATAAGGTCAAATAAATGAGATGGCTGGGAACGTTGGAGATATCAAAGCTAATGGGGTTGACAGGGAAGGGGAGGCAGAAACAGACTTGAAAGCTTGGGATTGGGTGGATCGCTTAGGTTGAAAGACTGAACCTTTGAGTCACTCCATGTAGCTATACCTGTGTCTCCTTCCATTCCCAATAAAACTGAATGTGCATAATCAAAATAAAAAATGATTGCCACTATACACTAAGTGGGCAATGTTTTTCATTTACTCTGATGGAGTGGACTCTACTTTTGTATGATGAGGCCCTGCAAGGGTCAATAGATTTAAACAGACACTCTGAAGAATAATCCTTAATCATATAATTCTGAATGTGGGCCAACCATGTCAACCACAAATCCTGATCCCAAGCAACTATTCAACATTACAAATTAATGCTACCACTAATAATGGTGAAACACAAGTAATGTCATGTAAACTGTGAAGACTGACTGGAGTTACAAAGGTCATAATCATATTCCAAAGTTTCATTACCTACGCAAGGTCCAAGAGAAGCTCACTTCACACTTGGATGATAAAAATGTCCACACCATTATCTTATATGAAATGCTGCCTTCCTTGGTTGATGTGGCCTTGGGGTTGCGGGATAGAGTTCTTGTTATTTCTACCACACTTATAGATATTTCCTGATCACTCTCTTCACAGGTGTTATTGCATACCTCTGGAGCAGGTGGTACTTGAACCTGGATCTCCTGGCTAAAAGGTAAGGACACTACCACTGCAACACATGACACTTAGAATGTCATCGGCCTAACCACCTTCAGCTGTTTCATCACAAGTTCTGAAAGGGAGATGTTGACTGCATATTCAGTACTGTTCACAACTCCTCAGATACTAAAGCAGTCCATATCCAAATGAAGCAAGACATAGACAATATCCAGTTATAGGCAAGAGGTGACAAGTAACATTCACACCACACAAGTGCCATGAAATGACCAGCTCCAACAAGAGAGAATCTAACCATCACCCCTTTACATTCAATAGCTGTGACAGACAGATTTTTAATCAGTAAGGGAATCAAATGTTATGTGGATTAGGCAAGAAAGTGGAATTGAGGATTATCAAGACAACCATGATCTCACTGAATGGCAGAAAGACTCAATGGGTTGAATGGCCTACTACTTCTTCTACATCTTATGACACTATGGCCTTGTTATACAGAAGCAACCTGGACTTGAAAAGCATGCAACAGTTTTTTATATCTTTGTGAAGTTTTTAGCGTGCAAAACAACACCATTTACTGTATCTCAGTACATGACAAAATAAATCAAAGTTTATGAACAATTCAAAACTTGACAATAGTACAATAGTAGAAGACTTCCAAGAGAATTAAATAGGCTAGTGAATTGGGCCAGCTGCTGATAGATGCAATTTAATGTGGTTGACAGTTTAAAGTCTGCATATTGGGAAAGCCAATACGAAGAGACAGTATAAGCCAAAATTATAAGCCAAATACTATTTTGAAGGCATGCAGAGAACCTGGGGGTATATTGTAAGAAATCTTTGAAGTTGGCAAGGTATGTAGCTTTGAACAGAGGGACATTGAATTCCAAAAGAAGGGAGTCCTGATAAAATTGTACATATCTCCAGCCAGGCCTCAGCTAAAGTGCTGTGCAGAACTTTAGGCATCACACTTTATGAAGAATATCAAAATCCTGAATAGGATGCAGAGGAAGATAAAGAAGGAATGACGGAGTCCATTTTGGTGGGTGAATAGAAGCTGAAGAATAAGGGGAGACATATTCAAAATGACAACGTTTTGGTTGAAGAGTTAGGGATAAATTATCTCATGCAGCAAGTAGGCTGGCTACCAGGAGTCACATGTTTAAAATCATTTGCTAAAGTGTAGAGGGAAAATTAGGAAAAATCTTTTTCACAGGAAGAAGGCTAATCTCCAGAGCACACAACCTGAATACTTGGTGGAAACAGATTTAATGGGAACTTTTAAAAGGCAACTGAACTATTTGTGAACAGGACTACCTTGCAGGATCGAAAGGAAAAATCAGGGGTGTGGGATTATATTGGACAAGTTTATTTTGTGAAGATCCAGCGCGCACACAAATTATTACAAGGCTGCCTTCCATGGTGTAAGATTCTAAGAATGGCATGATTTGTGCAGTTATGACATATACAAAGATATTCTGAAGAGTTAAAGAAAATGTGTTTCACAGCTATAAGAGATCCTGAATTATTAAAACAAGTCGATGATAATTTACACAACAATGATCAAAATAAAAATAAACAGTAAATACACCTTTTCAGTACAGGAAAGTACTAGAGTTTTTATTCCTTCATGTTCAAACTTCACTACAGCGTGAACTTTACAATAACTTGGAAAGTGAAACTTACAAAAAAGTGCTGGTAACATTAAAAAAAGAAATCTTCATCCCCAGAATGTCAATTATTCTTTCACACGAACAAATTTAAGGCTTAATACTTCAGTATAAAGTAAGTATGCAGATAAAACTTCACAGTATTCAAATGTCACAATAACATAATGAAGCATACAGCTAGTTAACAATACACATGTCACAGGTAATACATGAGAAATACAGTCTAATAAATGGCAAGTTAGGATACGGTTGCTTTAATAAATCTGGCAGGATTTAAAGCACTTGAAAATTGTACTTGAATTTATACCAACATACTGTACTATAGTAAATGGGGGAAAAGTTGGAGATCACCTCAAAAATGCTAGCCTGTTGTTTGGAGGGTCAACTGAAAAGGCCAAAAAGCCACCTCAGAAGTAATAACATGGCAATTTAGTGCTTGCTAGTTTTGAACCCCTTTTGTTTCATGTTACTTTGAGAAACTGATATTTTATTCCATGCATTAAGTCAAGGGTAATTTTAAGTTTCCCGATTAAAACTAAGAAATCGTCAAAAATACAAATAGAATTCAATTGCAATGAAAGCCTTGTGCTAACTCGCTTTTTAAAATTTACTTTTCAATTAGAGATATTTCACTTTTGTTGCATGCTAAACTCCCCTTCTTGTGTGTTAATACACACATTTGTATTCAGAGGGAAGAAGAAACAGGCTTAAACCTGATTTAAGCACTATACCCAGGGTAGCTTTGTAAATTTCTCATTTGACCCTTAATGTGAATTAACAAATCCCTTAATATTAGATAAAGGGTTCATACACAAGGCAAAAAAGGCAGGATGCTATAAAAGGGAAAATAGGGTACGTGTTCCGTACCACAGGTAAGGTGCAGAACAGAAACAGTAAACTGTTGACCTCTACAAAATTAGTCAACAAGCATAAGGTGCTTCACAATCTAATTTTTTGGAAATATAACAAGCCAACATTTCTAAAGTGATCCCTTACACCAAGACAAGTTTATTCAACTGTTTGAAAAAACCCAAAACGCTAGTTTTCACCTGTTGTACCAAGATGGCTCAACCATGACAAGCGAACATTGAAATGACCACTGCATGGTTTAACTAATCTCCTTCAGCACAGACCACTGCAAATTTGTACTGACATAAGAGTCTCATTTCTCATACATTGTAGCAGCACTGACACTGGAAATATTTAATAAGCATCCTCCTAGGAGACTTTGGCAAAGAGTAAACCTACCCTGTCATACATAGCTTTGAATTAAATCATAGGGTTTCCTCAAATTTAAGACTGTTCTTTACAGATATAGCAGACAGTGTGAGAAAATGGACCTTCTTTGATCAAATGCACTGGGCTCACAGGATAAGGCTGTACAGATCAATAAAGACTTCACAAAGTTATCCATTATTTTATTTGGCATAAAAGTGATAGACTAAGAATCCAAGTGCAAGGTACAAAATATGTAGGAGGAATGTTTATTCTTTTCAAGGAAATGATTTCAATTTTCCTTTCAAAGTAATAAACAGCACTTCTTTATATATGTTCCATTTTGAATTGTTCCTACTTAAGTTGCAAAGCAGAATTGATTTGGTGCACATTTGTATTTGATAGAGTAGACATTACAGAATCATTGTGAAGTACCATATTATACACTGTTAGAATAAATTAACACATTTAATAAATGCTCTGCCAGTACACAATTCATCTTTTGAGCTTCATCAGAAACATACATTTTAGGCCAAACTCTCTATTTTCTATTTTATCTAAATACCTATTTGCAAATGAGAAGATGGCTTGAAAGGTACAGACTGATGATAGTTCAATCCAAGGTGCTATGATTCAAAACAAAACTATGTTCTTTTTGGGTGGTAACCAATTATAGCCAAGTTGACTAGGAATATACTCAACTAGTGAACTAGAAGCATGTGCAAAACATGTGAAAGTTACAATTTTTTGTACGATTGTACTTTTGGCCTACAAATAATTGACTAGTGCATTAAGCACAATATCTATAGAATTTTGTGCTACTTGACTTCTACAGACATTTTGTGTTTTTTAGGAAGATCAACATGATAATGAATATAGAGCAGGCACTCTTATGACGACTAAGAATATTACTTTATATGATGCCGATGCTACTCTCGTAATCTATTAGCCCAGAGAATTCCCAAATACAGTATGTTTACTACACTTGCAAACTGTTTTTACTGTTGTTCAGTTTTCAAAGTGAATAGCTGCAAGTGTATACCAAAGGCAACATGGATGTTCTACCATAGAAATTCAGAAGTAAAATGCACTTTAATTCATTCAATAGAATTGTCAACAAAAATAGGTTCAGTGTGTTATATCATTCCATTAAACAAGGTAATATTTATATTCATTAAAAAGCACACTTCCAATACATGAAAAAGTATAAACTATAACTTTGGACATTAAAATCACAGTGGAATCTAAATTTATATAGACTCTTTTATAAAATTGCAGAAGCAACAAAAATCTACAATTCAGTGCTCATATTATAATGATATTTTTCTAAGTCTGAACGCTGTTTGTTGGAAGAAGGCTGGGCTCTAGAACAAGACAAACCTTTATTTGGAATGGTTTAAAAGCTCTTATTCTGATTTTTCACCATTCAAATGTCAATATAATAGAAATAAAAACAGAAGGCACATAGACTTAATGTGTATGTTATAGAAGCAGAAAGGCATATGTGCAATACTGAATACTCAGGGAAGAACAATTATCTTGGACCAGAATTCTTAGAGAATTATAGGCACCCGTCTTACGACACAATCAAGCTCAAGCAGGAAAGGGCATATTCCATTCAGTGTAGGTATCACTTTTCGATGTCTTTAGGTGCATTACTATCTGCATTTCATCATAAGATTCAACTTTGTATAAATCTGTAAAATGTGAAGATGTACAATGGTATGCAGAATTCATGATATCATTCTTTTGAAGGGTATATTTCATAATGTATGTAGATCTTTCTGACCCAAACAAGGAAAACCAACTAAAATCCTTATGTCAGTGCTCAGGTGAAGCAAGTAAAAACTTAAAATAGAAGATGTGCCACTAACAATGGGCATTAGTCTTCCTATATTGGTGTGCATTAAATATCTCCAGTTTGTCCCTTTCAATACTCTGCCCAGTTTTAATCCATTATTTTATATTCAAGGGCATTGGCAGTCAAAAGGAACAGTTTAGACAGTGCTGCTTTTTCTATCACAAAAATAGTCCTACACGTTACAAAAGACTCACAATCCAGTGTGTTTGACAAATCAAAAACGCCCTTAAAAACCCCTAATTAATCATCAGAGGAACAGCAGTAAATACAAACTGTTGTAACAATAAACAGACAAAACCAATTGAACACACATCAATAATTAGTTTCAAAACAGGTTACTGCAGCATTCTTAAGGGCAGACTTTGTTTTCATTTAATTCCTTCACCAAAACAGTCTTATACCAATAAATGTATCATTTTAAAAATATAAAATAGTACACAACAAAAAATATTTTCCTACCATTCAAAAGGATTATTCTCCACAAAACATAGAAAATGCCATCTAGAGCTTCTTTTAAGTATAGGGCACATACATGTTTTTGCATAAAATATGGAAGATGCAAAACCATCCTAGTGTTTTATAATTAGGAATAAAAAACATTCAGCAAGCAATCAAAATCATTGTACATCACCCATTATTAAAGGAGATGTCAAACTTGTCCAGTGCTTTCCATAACAAAACAAAAAATACACAATCTGTGATAAATTTTCATCTTAAATGGAGATAAACTGCTTACAAAAATAAAAAAAAGCAGATTATATAAAAAAGAAAGAAACAGTAGCTGCAAGGAAAAGAGTGAGAATGTAAGATATAGGTCAAGAAATGGTTTCACCCACTAATCTACAATAATCTGTGAGCAACCAAACCTATCTTCTTTCATATTTTTGCAACTGCAGTCTCAAAAGTTTTCACTTTTTTAATGATGCTTTCAGGTCATCTTTTAAAGTTACTTTATGCTTTTCCCAACATGAGTTGTAAAATAAATTAAATGGAATAAGATTGGGTAAATAGTGAAATTTAATTTTTTTTTGGTCTACAGTAGTCACATTAAAACAAATAAAATAATTATCAATGACAGTGTTGGGCTAACATAGTAGAAAGAAGGTGCACAATAGTAAACTATGAATCTGATATACTGTACTTAGGGAAAACTATGCTACTGTCTGATTTTCCAACATAATGGTTGGCTGTTGCTTAAGTGTCTTAAGGCAATCAGATTCTACTTTTGAAACAAATCATATTTTGGCAAAGGCTGCAAATGGACATCTGCATTTTTAAGTCATTAATACCTAATTTTTTTTGAAATTGAGATAAAACCATTCGAGTGATAGATTAATAAAGAGAAAATTAATTGTTACATAAACTGGTGCCACCCATTGCAATACATCCATAGTCTGCTACAGGGTCAGATAAAATTTGAAGCAGGTAAGGTACTGCAGAAACATGGAGAAATTATAGATGCCAGCACATTTAAACTAATCAATTTCTCGATTTAAGACACAGACTGAGTTTTAGAGCTAATTTATTCCAATATGTGTGATTTCTCCATTAGCTCTTCCCTGCAACTGAATGAGAACTGTGCACCAATAATGCAATAAATGCTGTAAGCTGTAGGTGACTTGGTCCTAGGTCACAAGTTCCAAATCCAGAGAGACAGACCAACAGCCAGGAAGCCTTAATGGTCTAACGGTTCATTCATTGTGGACATTTATGTTCTAGCCTGCTTTTTTCACAAATTCCTGATTCTCTGACTCAATTTAACTAAGGTAAAATCCAATGAATTTTCACATATAATAACATGTAGACAACCTTTCTAGCAGCCTATACACAGAAGACATTATACTTTATCCCTAAGTAAAAAGTGCATGGTACCAAAGCCTCAGAGAAAAAAAAATGAAAAGGAAAACTGATTTTGAATAGTCTGGATACAATAGCTGCATTTCGGTAGAAAGACGACATCTTATTATTTTTCCCTATAAATTCTACTTTTTTAATCCAAGTAACTCCCAGAAACAATAAACCCAAAAATGCAGATGTCAAGGCATAATAAATTCAATAGATTTGTCACAAATGTTAACCGATTTAAATTTTTGGGTTAGTGTTCATTTACAGGGAAAGCAAAGTGCTGAATTAGTGTCATATCAAATAATGTGTTACCAGCTAGTATCCTGTACTAGTGTTCCCACCTGTGGGTTCAATTTTAGTTTAGGTGACTACCTTTGAGCATTGACTCGATGTGACACTAACACTGGTTTGGTTCTATTCAAATGCAATAACTCCCTCCCGTCCCTCACAAGAAAAAAAAATTAGCCCTTATGTGTGCAAATGTTTAAGTGTGAATTCTGGTCAGTAGTGGAAACCTTACATGCAGTGCAGTTATCTCAGTGCATAACACCACCATTAACTTGCACACTTAGGGTTGTGCTGACTTTACAAGACAGCAACAAAATAATGTATTACCACTTGGACACTTAAAATCTTACACTGGCATCCAGAGAGTAGGATCATTATAAATTTTACAAATCAAAGTATAGAATTGTGGAATACAACAGGAGTGTACTACTGCCGATGCTGACTAGGTTTTATTTGCGTCCGAATGAAACGAACCTTAAAGCTACGAGATTTATAAAACAAAAACAATTTATAACACTACCGACAACCTAGCAGTGCTTCATGTTTTTTTCAAGCTTCTAAGGTTCCAGATGTTATATTTTATTTAAAAGGATAACCTGTAGTTCTGGGCTAAAACTGAGATATAGAGACTGGTAAAATTTACTTGGTACAAGTCTTTCTAATTCAATTCTGAAATTCGTTCACTACATTTTAGCTATGTTGAAAGAAAAATAGTTAAAATTTCAATTCAAATTGTAGCTTTAAATACAATAGTTAAAAGGCTACAAAAATGCTTTTGTTTCCTGCTCCATTAAAAAAAAAGAACTGTACCCTCGAAAATTATACTAACAAATTCTAAATGAAGCAAAGAATCATAACGGAAACATGATTTAAAAGTTGAAAGAATGCACAACCACATAGGCGTACAGATTAAATGAAAAAAAAACCTTAAAATACAAAGTACTGGATCTTTACCAAAGTTGTTTTTATATTGACCCATATCTTCTATTTACATGTTAAGAAAAAAGGTGTCTAATTGATTAAATGTAGTATCAATGGACTATTCCACTGGCACAAACTGATTGCACACTTTAATTTGTTTAATCTTCTGTGTACAACCCACTTGCTGTTGAGCATCGAAAGAGGCACTCCTACTAGTTCTTTAAACAAAATTAATGCTGTACAGGCCCTTTTCTCCCCTCACAATTATCTCTGTTCCTGTGTAACTGTGAAATGGCTATATTAAAATCTTTAATTCTGTTAAGTGATAAAATTAAAATCAAATTAAGGCAGGAATGAATTTATGTGACCATGATTTACATGTTAGTTGACTATTGTATGATCACAACACAAATTCTGCAGCAAGGGATTAGGGGAACATGCAATTTTATTTGAAAGGTCAGATTGTTAAAGTTTTAAATTTTAAAACTGAATAAATTAGCTATGAATTTTATTTCCAGTAAACTAACTTAAAAATACTGCCAATGCTGGAAATCTGAAATAAAAGCAATGTTCTGGAGAAACTCAATCGGTCTGGCACCATCTGTGGAGCAAGAAAGAAAATTAATGTTTGAGTACAACATGACATTTTCAGATCTGAAGAGAGAGGTGGAAATGTGATGGGTTTTACACTGTAGAAGAAAGCAAGTGTATCAGAAGGGAAGGCCAGGAGAAGGGTGAGAGACAGAGGGAGATTGGAAATCACTATATAAACTATAGCTCTATATTGATGAAACAATCAAAGTTCATAAACTAGCAATGGGAGTTTATTTGTAAAATACTAACCTATGGGAAGCTCATTATTGGCAGTGTAGTTCTTTATTCCTATAATTTTGGGGCTGAAATATTATTTTGAATACACCAACTTTAAAGGTATACCAGGTCTGCTATAAATTGTTCTCTGGTTTGTAATTAATTATGCACACTTTGTTCTTTAAAGTTGTGACTGTAGAGCTCTCTCTATTACATAAATCAATATTTTCAGAAGGCATTTGTCTTTCAGTTTAAGTAACTTTAAGTTGAATATTAATCAGTCAATATGAATAAACAGGAGTTTTTACACAATGTTTAAAACACCTACTGTTGTAAGTTTTCAGAGTCAAATTCTCAGGCTAAGTAGTATTAAAAATCTAGTAGAATTATCTTTTGTCAATAAGTTCAGGGGCATTATTATTAACTTTTATTTTTCTCCCCTTCTTCAAAAGATGTTTGTTCTAGTTTTGTTTGCTATTTTCTCAGATTTTAACAGAGAATCCAAAAATATCACTGGGTGTGTGAATCTTTAGATGCAAACCTGAACAACATTGCTCCACAACCTAGCAAGTTTTAACGCTATCCCACAAGCTACTCCTCACCTTTAAAGACATCTAGATCTACCAATACCTTCAAAAGAAAGCCCACAATTTTCCTGCATAAAATGGGGGTTTGCAGGATTGTTCGCATTTAACACAGGCTGAAAATCATGTTCTGATATATTATTTAAAGGCACTAATCCACATTGCTCATGACATATCCTCAATAGGTAGCTCAAACAAACTAAAAATTGTCCAGTAGTTTTCAAATGTGAAGTTGTAAAAAAATTCTAAACCACATGATTCCACAAATGTTCAGGTTAGTTGCCAAGGTAAACAATGTAAACTTATATGTATCACCCAAAACAAGGGAGATAAAATATAATTTCCATAATAGAGTGATGATACAAAATATGCCAATAAATCATGCAACAAACCATATCAAGAATAAGGATGACTAGTTGGTTACAATTATTAAAATGCATGTTGATTTTTTGACTTGTATTCATTGCCCCCAAGGTTCACAATTTTAAGCTTCCAAAAATATAGAGTGAAATACCCAAGAAGGTATTTGAGTGTGCCATAAGTACACAGTGGGTTGTGCATACAGAAGACCAAATTCTACATTTCACAATTTCTTAACTATTGAACTTCAATAATCTAATACTGTCTTGTTAGTACACATTCCTATGTCTGACTGATGGGCTCACCGAATAAAAAGGACAAATACTATGGAAACCAAGAGACACTGTGAATGCAGCGGGCTGGTGATAAGCAAGTGATTCAAAGTGACTGCATTTAATATTGCAAGGCAGATCTATTCTGTAATAAAATGTAAATGTGTACTATTGTATAAACAAATACTGCATTGCAAAGTTAAGCTTGGTTAAATATTCCTTCCACAGGACACTATTCCAGTAAAATAGCCTTATATCATTTGAGAGGCTTCCACTTGTTGTGGCTAATGCCTAGCGTAAAGCCAACCACCCTTCCTTTCATATTTGCACCTTAAAATCTCAAGATCTAAATCTGTACTCCATAATGTTAAGCCAACGGGACTTATTTGTCTCCAAAAAGGTTAACTAAAATTGTTGCCATATTTTTCGTAGAGTTTCATTGTCAGTCAGTCAAAATACTGAAAGTGAATTATTACATTAGCAGAAAGATTTTCAAATATATGTTGACCAAGCTATTTTCTACTTTTCCTAACAATTTAAGCTTGATGTCTACACTAATTTTAAAAGAGAACAGCATATATCCAGTGTACTATAGCAACCAAACAATTAATATAATATTGATAATCACAATCTCTATGTTCATGATTTATCCATAATCAAATGAAATGTCCATTATATTTAATGAAATATTGTCTGTATTACATTGTTAAAACATGTAGATGTGAAGCAGCTAAAAAAGTGCCATAGAAAAACAAACAAAAGTGTACACTACTTTTTTTACGTGGGCATTTACCAACCAAAGACATTAAAAAGGGAGTGCAGTCACCACTATTAGTTTATTTCCTATATGATTTTAAAAAATTAACAGCTCATTTTAGTTAAAGTGTTGGTAGTGTAATTGGTGGAACTGATTTGGGAGGAATAGACAACCCTATAATGACAGGGAACTAAACTGACATTAGGAGAGAGAATCATTAACCTTGGATGCACCATTCATTATTTAATTACAGTCCTATTATTTAATTCAGCTCATCTGCAGAGACAGATTTAATAACTCTGCCACCACAAGCGAAGTTACTTTCTAAGATTGTCAGCACTCATGGTCAAAAATTATTCAGAATAAACCAATCATATGAAGGGTTTTAAAAGAGATAGATGAATTGTAGACTCTCATTCTCTCTTATAGAGTGCGAGAAAATAATTCCTATGGTTAGAAATCAAACTAAAGAAGGGCAAAGAAAAGTAAAATGTGAAAATTAAGATGCAAGATTATCAAAACGCATTATGGGAGACAAGCAATTAAATGAAAGACTCTGTCTATTCATCAACTTATCGCAAAAATGAATAAATGTAGCAAGTTTTGTGTGGTGCATAACTTGAAAAATTTGTGTGCATCAGCATATGGAATTGTGATCACCTCTGATTTAATAGGGTGAGGACTTGCTAAACAGGCTGTATTACAGACATCAAATGTAATATGTAAGACTGGACCACTTAGCAAGTAGAATGATGTTTTTGCATGCATATTATACAAGAAGGTATAATAGGAAGTATATTTCACCATGTAGACGTAGAAGTAGGGTAACCGTGTGCAACAACTTGCAAGTAAAACTGCTGGAGTACAGACCAGACTAACATACTGCCATGAAAATAATAGAGTGGTTAATAGAAAATGTACAATGTAAAAGTTGGCCAAAAAAACTTGCCTACAAATAAATTTGCAGTCAGATAGGTACATATCTTAGTTGCTCTAAGCATTTGATCCTAATATACCCCAAAAGAAGCAAAACCTTGTATTACTATCGGTGATATGTTTGAGGCCTGGTCATCTGCAGAATTTAAGAAGGGCAAAACAAGCTTAAAAGCACTTTGTGATGCATTCAATTTAGTTTCTGGGTTCTATAAAATGCTACGCATATGGTAATGATTTAAAGCTAGCATATGCAGTATATTGTTTATTCCCAGCTAAAATTGTGCGCATATGAAAATTTCAAGTATTTGTATCTGTTTTGTACAGATACATTAATAAAAACCTTTGCACTTTCCTCTACAGTTGTTCAATTTTTAAAGAAAGAATAAGTAAGAACAAGCAATTTGAACAAGACATCTGAGGAAATATGTAATTGCACTGATCAAGACCCTCTGCTCTCAAAATCTTATTCATAGTGCACAACTGAAGCTGTTCTCTACTTCATATTCATTATAATGACTGACTGCCTGATTTACAGCACTGCAATAGATACACTATGAAACTCTAATTATGTCTATGGCAACAAAAAAATTAATCAAAATATTGTAATATTGATTGAATTACTCATCATTGACAATCTGAAGATAAAATAAAAGACAAAAAAGGAGCAGCAATCAAAAAGACAGCATGTCAAACAGACCACGTTGATTATATGCTAATTTTGAATGTGATCAACTACACATTGTGGGGGGAGAAAAGTTCCTTCAATTCAGCTCATCTAATGTCTGGAAGAGATCTTACAACCTTAACAGTCTTCTGAATATTAGTGGCAGTGTACGCAAAAGTTCCAAAAAGCCTCACCTCTGCTCAAATACTGTTGTAAAAAAAAATGCACATCCATGTAGTAAACTTTATCGAAACCATCTGCAATTAGAAAAAAAACTCACTGCGCTTTTCCTCATATTTCAATAACAATGAGTTGTTTGCACATTTGAGAAATAAATTTTTGTACCTAACTGCAGTTGCACGGATGCTGCATTATATATTAAACCTTTTTAATATTCAAAATGAAACCCCTCTGTGTAAGTGACCTGTCCACAGCAGGTAAATAATAAATATCTGCCAGTGTCATTACAACCACTATACATACAAAGTCATCTCCGTTAAAGGCAAATTTTGTGACCATCTTAACACAGAAATGTCAATACATACCAAGTATTGTACTTCAAAAGATGTTGCATACCACAGTTTACTCGACTTCATGCTGTGTAATGATCTCAAAGAAAATTTCCACCTTAGATAATGCAACACTGGATTAGATCTGTAGAGATAGTAGGCCTTTGTAGTGTTCAACACGCTAGCAATAAATGAGAGCTGAATGAGAGGAAAAAATCTTGAGGCCTGTAGTGGTCATCCAGCCAGTGGAGCACACACAATAACAGGCATTAAGGCCACCATCCTGAAGAATTCTTGAACATCTTGCTGCTGGTAATAATGTGCCAGCTCTTTTTGTTTTAAAATTTTCATTTTGTTTAAATTAATTCCAAATTTGTTCTTAGCATAGTTCCTTAACCATCAGAAACGTGCATTCTCATATGGTCGTTGAACTGTTCGATTTGGTCGAACTTGGCTGGGCAGACAGAACAGACATATGTAGTCACCTCAGAGCAACCAGTGCCATGGAGTGCCATGTGCCTCTCCAGTAGGGTCTTGTGGGAGAACTTCTTTTTGCAGATGTAGCACTCGTAGGATTTTTCACCACGGTGAAGTCGCATATGAACATTGAGGGAGCTCTTTTGGGTGAATCGCTTGTTGCAGATATTACACTGATAGGCTCTCACACCAGTGTGTGTTACCATGTGTTTAATCAAATAATCCTTCAGTGAAAAAGATCGCCAACAAATGCTGCACTGATGTGGCTTCTCTCCTATGGAACAGTTAACAACAAAGACAACAAAAGTTAGTTAATTCCAAAGGCTTTAGCTAGCACAGTTTTTCATATTGCACTTTAAGATACAGAGAGACGCTTGCTTGTATTTATGGCAGTGGAGTGGGGCTCCTGAACTGGAGCTCTTCGGCTCTGTCCATTTCTTTCTTTTCCTCTTTTCATGAATTTTTTCCCTTTCTATTTACCTCCTGTCCTCGGACAGCATCGGTGGTGGTGAGTTGACTCGAGGTGAAGCCCAGGCGCGGACCCCCGGCAGCGAGGTGAAGCCCAGTGCAGACTCATTTGTTCCGTCTGCTTTTTCTTTCCTCTTTTTCTCTGCTTTAGAGATACTGTAATGCTGAACTTTTAACTTTATGTCTTTACTTTTCTAATTTTTACCTACAATTTTGTACCTAGGCACTTTTGTATCGAAGATAGTGCCAGGAATGGCGACTTTGCACACTCTTCACTGTGCTCACGTACTCAAGTAAGGGATACATGTGACAAGAAACTTAATTCTAATTCTGTTTCCAAGTTATAGAAAGTGAGAGTTATTTCTTTCAGCAGCAAAAATAAAACTGATCTTTTCTACAATATTTTTTAGTCAGCATTGGTACTTCGTCTCATAAAGTGCCTTGTTGGGGTATTTGGGGGTGTGGTAAAAGGATGGTGTGGAATAAGAGTGTAAAATTGTTCCACTAGCCAATCCAAAAGCACTGGCATATTGGTCTTTGGTTCTATTAGATCAAAAAAGGAAATCAATACCAGTACAATGGGGTTTACAATTGGCTGAACCTCTGGTCAGGTGTCTAAATTGCCAATTTACTCAATTTAGCATGTTACAGCAATTTTTTTTAAAAAGTAATTTTGCAACTTGTAGGCTGTGACACAATTTTGAAACTTGAATGTTTGACTGAACAGCATTAATATACACAGTTGAAATGGCTGAAACATCCCGAATTAATGGCTTGCACAGGTATTTATTCCGATCTCATACTCATCAAACTGTGAAATGCCTCAATAGCAAAACGAGATGGTTATTCACTATGTAAATGAGTGTAAACAAATCAATGATAATCATACATGAAAATAACACCATTTAACACCATCATCAAAAACTGTAAAGGCAAATTTAATCCATAAGCACCTAAAGAAAGAAAAGCAAAGACCAACATTTCAATGTAGGGTCTTCCAAAGCACTGTTTGGGAACAGACCAAAGGAGACAGCTCCAAAAATCGCCTATGCCAAATGTTCTCTGCAAAGCAACATGGCCCATTAAGGAGACAACTCAGCACAGTAAAACCATGGCATAGAAAGGTGTTAGCAGTGATGCTGGAGATACAACAAATTCCCAATGTAGAAAACAGCATTTGTGCAAAAGTAGTCATAAAGGATTTCCTTGTCATAATATTTGAGAGTCTGCAACAAATTTAACCTTCCTCAACAAACTCTGATCTTAAAAAGTATCAGAGACTCTCAAAGGTCCCTGTCCTGTTCCTCACATGATTTTTATTTTTTTATCAGCTTGAAGTCTGGTATACCTGTATCCTTCAAAATAATATACCACACTTCAGCATCATATACAATTACAATGAATTCTTCTCATTTTAGTGAGTTTTTTGAATGTTGCATCAACGTGATTTTACAACAGTATTTTCTCTTTTTTTTTTCCCTCACATGATTTCTAGTCTACTACCACTTCTTTAAAATTCCATAATTAAAACTGCAGGTATCGTAGATGGTTGTGGGTCATCACTGCAGGTATGCCAAGAAATTGTCGGAATTACACTCACTGGCTTTGCACACAGGGGTATATAGTGGGGTAACCATATCAATTATCAAGTTGTGTCTGCCATTTCAAATGTAGCTTAGTATTGGCTTCAATAGGGGCAGCCAAACATCTGATCCATAACAATGAGACACAGGAGGATAACTCTCACTGCACACTAATCAGCCTTCAAGATTTTACAGTTGCCATCAGTTAGGATGGTATTGATGAAGAGGAAGCTTTTAGATTAAGTCGGGACAAAATTATTAGTCACTTGATCAAATGCGGGTGAAGGGCAAACTGCGTTGAACGAACATACTCAAGGATTTTGATGAGGTAATTATCTGCATTGATAAAGGTAAAGCTGTTGATGTGATCTATGGGCTTCCAAAGTATGTTTAATACTGAGCTGTACAACAGCAAGTTACATCTCATGGAATTAAAGACATAGTAACGAATTGGATACAAAATTGACCAACAGGAAACAAAAAGTAGTGACTGAAATAAGGTTTATGGAGGAGTGTCCAGAAATCAGTGTTCGTACCCTTGCTCTTCCTGACATATTTATGACTTAGATCATGATGCACAGGGCACAATTCCAGAATCTGTGGATGATACAGTTACATGTGGCAAATGTCATGGCTGAAGTATTTTGGATTTAATGCAGCTTATAGCTCCTGAGAAAAGATGCGGTGGTGCCGGTGTTGGACTGGGTGGACAAAATCAAAAGTCATACGACACCAGGTTATAGTCCAACAGGTTTATTTGCAATCACAAGCTTTCAGAGCGCTGCTCCTTTGTCAGGTGAAGGAGCAGCCCTTAGAAAAGGGGCTGTCTGGCTGGGCCCTGGGCATAATTTCTTCTTTCCGTGAGGACATGCTGAATTTCATCACTTACAACGGAACAACTTTCAGGATGCTTTCAACATCAGCAGCAGAGTATAAGTTGGGCTATATCCTAGCACCAAATTTCCTTGGCATGTTTTTCACTATAATGCTTTTGTACTCTTGGGTTCATTTACTCTTACCTTTGTGCCCATAGTACAGGATTATCTGCACCAGTGATACAGAGGATGGTATTTTGAAGCAGAGCCCTCTAAACTAAAAATGGTGTTGGTACATGAAAGATTCTGCCAAAATGTTTGACTGGGAACAAACTTGGCTGGGGATACAAAACCCTGTACATATTACTCACATGAATGTACCTGATTCAATTACATTGCTCTTGCTATATAAGGAAAATGTTCCAGTATTCCACTGTCTTTTTTTGCTGGTACTGCAACGGTTAATATCACAATATTACTCTGCATACTGATATACAACAGCAGCCATGGCTGGCTTCTTTAGGCACATGTTTTCTTTTTAAAATTATTTTCTGGGGTGTGGGTTTGCTGGCAAAGCCAATATTTGTTGCACATCCTAAAAAGCCTTGAGCATAACATCCTTCCTTGTCTTGGGATTTTGGATACAGAACCCATCAAATGAACTACTGAACATGATGTTCAGTGAACTATACTTCTGGGAGCACAGGAATTTGTAGCTTTTGGATTGATATATTAGATATATTTTGATTCAATATCAATAATCAATTCTACACTAAGGTTGGACTAGAACACGTTATTTGCCCAGTATTTGGGTAAATATGGCAAGCCGAAAGGACAGAATCAGAAACCAAGACTCCATATCCTGGGTTATTAATGAGATATGTCATGCTGAGACAATCTCATTTTTGGTAAATGTATTATTTAGTACAAAGTTAGGTTAGGTCAGGTCAGCCAATTGTTCAGGACATTTTTGTTGTCAAAAATCATTTCCTTTGGAGCTATAGGAATCATAACCAACATCACAAGAAAAGGGTCCCAGATGTGCCAGCACTCTGTGGTTTAGTGTACAATTGGTAGGAATTCTCATACTCTCAGCTCTACATTGAAGTGCACACATTTTTAACATTCACATAGTTGTCTGCGGTTTGCAACAGCTTCACTAAGGTCTTTATTTTAATAGGTGACAGGTGATCCTATTAATTTTTGGCATTACTTCTGGACACCTATTACTATTACCAACACCAATGTGGTACATCACACAGTTCCAGGTCAAAATGAAGGGGCTCTCTATGGTTGGAAGTTTTAGGTCACTGCATCCAAGCTAAGTCTTTTCGCATCCTAGACTGAAATGTATATCTCTGTAGCTTGTGAGACAAACTATCAGAACCAATAACCTTGACAGACTGACAGACAATCTCGACTATCCAGATTAGGGGACTAACACTGAGTAAATTGTGACTTTATACAATTTATCTCTTCACAAACAAGTCAAATTTTGAGCCTGCTTCCCCGAGGATTCTTCTGAGATTGCCGCGGTTGACAACTAATACTAAATTGAAGATTTTTTCTAATCAAAAATCATTTCCTCTGAAGCCACAGGAACCACAATTAAAGTAATTGGATGAGTTGCTGTAAAGCATCTTGCAGCTGATACGTACTGCAATCGGTCTCCATTCTTCTCTGAAGTTAAATTATTGCATCCAGTGAAATTCTATATCTAGAAATGTCTTAAACTTCTTGCTGTTGTTATTGTTGCATCCAACCACATGACTGGCGAGTAGCCCATTACACTCCTCACTGAAGCTTTCTAGATCATGCATGGACTTTTATGGATTAGGAGAGACTTATTACAAGGTATCCAGCGTTAGCTCTCATCCTGCAGCCAGTAAGCGTGTAAGCAGTGCACAAGGCTGCAAGACTAGTGGAGATGCAAGTTGGTGGGTGAAGTTGAGTAAGGAAAACACTGAATGCATCACTTTAAATGGATGAGTGTGAGCCGGAGTAGGAAGTGGTCAAGTAGCAGAAATTGAGTGAGTTGAGATATTGGATAGAAGACAGTGGCACTTATACTGATGGAGTGGCAAAAGGACATTTCTCCCGCATGGCCGAGACTGCTCTTAACTTCGACCAGGCTGGCACTGTCTGGTGTTGTGGCCTCCGTTGACAGTCAAGAGGAGAGGGCAGTACCACCTCTGCACTGCCCTGTCCAGCAAGACCTCCAGGGCACTTCATGTGAAGTGAGGTGCTGATCTGCCAATATGGCAAGGAACCACCGAGGTCAGTGTGGGTAATTATCCTTGAAATGACATCAGCAACTGATGCATAGGGTGGACATTTCTTAAACTCCTCCGCATTTTGCAACACAACCTGTATTGCCTGCTTGTTCCGTTGCACCCAATTATGAGGTATGGTAAGTAAAGCATACATTTATAGAATGAAAAACTGAGCCAAACAACTAATGCAAGTATTATACATTCTGGGTGAAAAGGGGTGGGGCAGGTGTTAAGTTATATGCCAGATATATGCAAAAATATGAATCTTGGGGTCAGAAAAATGAGATCATCATGCACACCAATTTGAAGCTGTGACTTTAACATAAGACAATATGGAACATTATTTCGCTGTTGTTAATTAAGTGGATATTTGCAATGTTTCTACAAATTCAACCTTTACTGTTCAACTGCCTTCTTAACCTGTAATCTGTAAGCTTCCTTTTAAACTTGCATTGCACAACCAGCTCACTATTGCTAATGAATGCAGATGTTTCAAAATACAATACCATGTCTGCAAGTTTTTTAATACTTCATTTAAAACGTGAAAATAAAGGGAAGTAAATTCACACCTTTTGAAACTGTGCTTCATGAAACTGTTTGCATTCTTTACTTGAGAAAAAAATTGTAATGGGCTGAAAAACTTAACCTTTTAAAAACTATTTCAGCAAAAATGAAATCTTTTGACAAGACAACATAAACTAACATCTATATCTCGATTGAGACAAAAGTAGAGATAATACAATAATAGTAGCTTAAGCTACTGTTACCAAATGAGAAAGAAAAAGTCGCTCAAAGGAGGTTTCCCACTGTTGACAGTAAAGATAATTCCATATCACCATGCATGGCTGAACAATGAGAGAGGTGACAGTTTCTCATAAGACTTCTGCTTTTCAAACCTCTGAAAAATACCACCTAGAAATTCCTCCTCAACGGACCTGTTCCTTTTCCAAAGTATGCAGAGGATGGAGGAAGAACTGAGAAGTTTCGAGGTGAATAACATTATGCTTATTATGGCAACATATTACAGTAGAATTCTTCAAAATACTGGATCAGTATACATCTAAAATGATTGCAATTGCTGTATTTAAAATGAGGTAGTTATATTATACATCATAGCATAAATGATAAATGGAGATACCCTAACATGAATATTTCTCAAGTTATGTAATCTACTTCAAAAAATAATTAGATATCACTATATGATAAGCTATAGGCACACTTTTTACTCACTTACCTGTATGGACAAACATGTGCTTCACATAGTTTTGTTTTGCAGTGAAGGTTTTATTACAAAGAGTGCATTCATAGGGTTTCTTTTCAGTTTGTCCACTTGTACCCTGCATTGTTGACTGAGATTGTTGGGGGTGCAACTGTGTAGTAAAATTTGTAAGATTGGGTTGAGGAACTGTTATAAATTGTGTTTGTTGGCTTGTCAGAGGTTGTGGCAAGGTGAACTGAAACAGTTTGCCACTGGTAGTGCTCTGAGTGGTAAAAAGTGTTGGTATGTATGTACTCCCAGCAGTGCCAATGACTGGAGTAGTGCTGGTTAATGTCAGTGGCATTCTCAAATTGGTGGCAAGCGTGTCTGATTGCCTCAGATAAAGCTGAGTAGTTGCCAGAGGCTGAGTGCTTTGTGTCACTGAAATCAGAGAGTTCATTGCAGCTTGATGCAATTCTTTTTCATTTGCAATGTTTCCATCACTGCTTTGAGGCCCTGTGGTGTCCATTTCATTTTCATAAACTCTATCTGGGGAAGAAGGATTCACACTGCTAGGCTGCTGGCTGTCTTCAGCAGGAAGCTCATTCTGCTCAGCTGGTCTTGCATCTGATTGTCCCACTCTGCTTATGCCAGCAATGAACTGTTGGTCAATTGGATCAGTTTCAGTCCCATTGGAAGAGCTAACACCAGAGTCAAAGCTTTCTCCTTTTGGCTCACTCTCCGTACCTTCAGCTTGGTCAGTATCTTCATTGCACTCTTCAGATTCATTTTGTTCTGAAGTGTTTCTTTTCTGTTGCCCATAGTAATCATAATCATATTCATCTTCAGCCTCTTGCTTGATGTGAACATTGCCCACGATGGTTTGGATACGAACTGGCCGCAGTTGCTTGCGGCAATGTGTAGTTTCCGGAGTGGAAAGATATCTCTCCATTTGCTGCGTTCGTTCTTGTATTCTTGTTATCCATGTTGGATCAGTTAGATTCTCTTCTCTCTGCATAACAAGTTGTGTGCTGTGATGGCTAATCACTGGAGCACTGTAGTGGGATCTCTCTCCTGTGCCATTTTGTACTGGCATTCCAGAGCAGGCATAAAGGGAGGAATAAATTCTTTCAACATTACGCTGGGAGTGGGCTTGTACATAGCCAGATTCAGTATCACTACTCTGACTGGATGAACCAGATTCCGGTGTTCCTCGTGGTGTTACTTGGTTCGAGTCCCTTGTTGTAGAGTAACCACTGCTCACTACTGTTTGAGACACAATCCGGGTGCATTCATCAATAACTGTTTTGATCTGCAGTATGCTGGCTGCTGTGAGGATTTGTAAGGCTTCGCTTTGGGACACCCGGAGAACTCCACTGTACATGAAGTCAATCAACTTCTGAACAGACTGCACTGAGACTACAGATGGGATCTCAATGTCACTGTAGCCCAAAAGAAGTTTATCTTGGAAGAAGGGACTGCCAGCAGCCAACACACAGCGATGAGCTCTGAGCATGCTGCCATGGATTCTGACGGTCACATCGCAGAAATGGCCCCGGTTTCGCTGCTCATTTAGTGTCTCAAGCACAGAGTTGCTGAAGTTGTGAAGGTTGATGCTGTGAATGCGCTCTGTCATTCCCTTCCCATTGATGTTACCTGGATTTGAATAGAAAATATTTTCATTTTTACAGCTTCAGAAAAGTTAGTCAATGACCTGTGCAGAGATAGCATGCTACTTTGAGTTAACACCCAAATATCACAAATGCAAACAGTAAAAAAAAAGTAACACTGCTGCACTCAAAACACAAACATTATAAATGCATTGATAAAATTTATTTGCTATTAAAGTTTTGAAATTAATGTAGAACCTTGTTTGTCTGAAATTATTTGATAGGAAATAAATATAAACTTTAACTGCTTGGAAACTACAGACTTGAGACTGAAGAAAAGACAAGAGTACAATTGAGAGGGCCATATATCAAATCACAGGAACTAAAATCAAGCAGATTGTTAATCATCTGAATGGAGAGGTTAGCCGTATTGATTGATAATGCTTAGAATGATCCAGCAGTTATGTATACAATTCAGTTTAATCTGCTTTGGTCAGCTGATACACTAGAAGTAAGTACCAGCACTGATGTTGATTGTGCATCTGCTCTAGAACCTTGGTGCACATTGCAGGAACTAATTAATTGTGATACTATTTCATGTCTCCAAAAAACATCGTTAGGATATTCTACCTACAGAATTTATTTGATACGTGTAAGTAACTACTGGTAACAATGACAAGATTAATTCTACGTAATCCCCATGAAACAATATCAGTGGCATTGATTTTAGCATTTTGAAGAAGTCAATTTCTTTCAAAAAAGGATTGGGCTTTTTCTCTAATCTCCTATATAATTCTATATCTATAATATGCAAACCATTGATTTTATTCAAGTATGTATGAAAAAAGGTCTCGGCAGATAATTTTCTACTATTTTATTAAATATCTAGATGTTGCAAATTAACTGTGTACTCATGTCTGTGATATGACTGAACACTCAATAGAGAACAATCTACATATATGAGGAAGGGAGAGAAATAACAACAGGCATAGGAACAGAAAGAAAGAGGCCTGGAATGATTTCAGCCAAATAAAATAAGTTAGATGACAAAATGACATTCAAGTTTAAGTGATTTATGATATCCAAACCTGGGATTAAATGATATGATTTGAAACAATTCATTTATGTTAATTACATTGTACGAGAAATATACTAAAATTTCTGGAGTGCATTGATCAATCTTTCTTCTCTCCCTCGGGGCTAAAAGAGGGGGTCAATAGTTATTATGCTCCATGATATTAACACATTATAAAATTACAAGATTATTGAGATTTAATCTGCATTTGATTACTGGAAAATAAGTTCTGTTAAAAAAATTAAGTAAGAATATTACAAGGGCAGAAGTTTCTCACCACTGCAGATGTAAGTGGCCACCATCTTGAAAATCTCCTTGTGTGAAGAAAGAAATTCATGGGCCATCTCCTCTTTTGCAATTGAGCATATTACTGAAATGATTCATGGATCTAAGATGTTTGACTGTACTGCATATGAAGACAAGAAAAGAAGTTGTTCAAAAACTGCAGATCTCCTTTGTATAGTCCAATTTTGTAGAGCACCAAAGACTGATTCTACCAAATATGCAAAATCACATTTCTATCATCTACTTAAAATTCTTAGCCTAGCACAGAAAGTGTATAGTTATTGAGCCAAGGAGGCCAAGAATTTTATTGTTCACCTCTATCATGGAGATTCTCAAAATGGTGGTCAAAAATTGAGAATGAAGAAAGCTTAGTGCTAAGAAAAACAGGAAATTTATTTTTATGAGAAGTCATCTGGGCAATAATAAACGCCTGTTCTTTTTAGATACTGCTAGTATAACATGATTCACAACAAATCACAGTTATGAAAATGGGGTTCTGAAATCAAATTAAACTGACAAAGTACTTTCTGTTAATACTTTTCAATTAAATATTAGCCAATAAAACAATCTGAAGGATCTAGTGGGCCATGTTTTCAACACAACAATAAACACTGCATTACAAGTTATAAATCAACAACTCTGTTTAGAATTTAGTCTAGCAAATTTGGCATATTTTCAATGTTAGTTTTGATTACCTATTCATGCCAATGGGGTAACATAAATACGATGTCAACAAAATAAGGAACATAGAGAAAGGCAAATTTGGTGTTAATTTTACATAAATGTTGATGACACCCAGCTCTACCTTACTACTATTTCTTTTCACATCTCCACCATTGCCAAATTATTAGATTGCTCAATAAACATCAAGTATTGCATGAACAGAAACTTCTTCCAATTAAATATTAGGAAGACTGAAGTCATTGTCTGTGTTAGCTGCTCTAAATTCTGCACCCTAGCTACTGACTTCATCCATCAGCCTGGCAACTGACAGTAAAACTAGTTTGCAATCTTGGTGTTATATTTGTCTGCAAGATGAGCCTCTGATCACATATCTCTGCCATTACAAAAGCCGCCTGTTCCACTTCCATGACATGGCCCCTGCCTCAGATCAACTGATGCCAAAATCTTCTTTTGTGCTTTTGTTACCACTAGATACGAGTGCTCTGATACATTATTGTTTACCCTCCCACATTCTCTCCCAGAAAACTTGAGGGCACCTAAAACATTGCTGCCCATGTCCTTTACACATTTGAAAGTCTCCTTTCACACGTTAGCCCTACAGTGGCAAAGATCAAGCAAAGCATGGATTTTAAAACGTTCATCAATTCTCTAAAAGAATCTCTCTATAGTCTTGTCTCTTCCTATTTTCATAATCTTCTCCAATCCTACAGTCTGTGATATCCGTGCGCTTCTAAATCGGACTTCTTGAGCATCTGCATTTTCATAAAATTCACACACAATAAGAATGGTCATGATTTATGACAATTGCAAGACTTAAATACATCAGTACATGTGGATTGTCGTTACGTGTTTGCATGGAAGTTGGAGATCATTGGATAATAACACAGCGTGGAGCTGGAGGAACACAGCAGGCCAGGCAGCATCAGAGGAGCAGGAAAGTTGATGTTTAGGGTCAGGACCCTTCTTCATACATGGGGAGGGGAACGAAGCTGGGAAATAAATAGAGAGGGGAGGGGTGGGGCTGGGGAAGATAGGTGGGATGGTGATAGGTGAGCGCAGGTAGGGAGTGGTGGGGATTGGTCAGTGAGGTGGGAGAGGTGGATGGACAGGTTGTGTCAGGTCAAGGAGATGGGGTGAGAGGGAGGGCTGGTCATGAGATGAGGCTGGGAGTGGGGAGATTTTGAAACTGGTAAAATCCACGTTTAGGCCATTGGGCTATAGGCGCCCGAGGTGGAAAATGATGTGCTGCTCCTCCAGTTTCCGGGTGGCGTCATTGTGACACTGGAGGAGGCCCAGGACGGACATGTCATCCAGGGAGTGGGAGGGGAGTTAAAATGGTTTGCGACCGGAAGGTGTTGTTGTTTGTCACGAACAGAGCGCAGATGCTCTCCAAAGCGGTCTCAGAGCCTCTGCTTGGTCTCACCGATGCAGAGGAGGCCACATCGGGAGCAGCGGATGCATCCCCAGTGGAGATCATTAGCATTTGTTTGAAAGTGGACTCCTATTGAAGGAGAGAAAGGGAGAGAGTATTAATAGAAAAGAACACAAGAAAGTTGAAACTTTCTGTTCGACACAGAGACAATTACAGCTAACTACGATTCATGAATTTGCACATTTATAATGGGAAATACTGATACAAAACAGAGAGAGAAGGTTGGGTATTAAGAGCAGTACTTGAGATTGCTTTAGTCAAATGCTTCACCATTGGTAGCTATGCATTCAATTCTAAGCCCCAGGCTCTTGAATTGACTGTCTAACTTAGTTGATTATCCATCTCACCTTCATTCTTTAAGCCTGTTTCTTTGACTAAGATTTTGGCCAAATTACCTCACCTTGCCTTATTTCATAAAGTAATAAATTTTGCATCATGATGCTCTGGTGAAGCATCTTGGGACATTTTATTAAAGGCAAGTTGTTATGCAACTTTTCACAAGATGATAACATCACTGTCTATCTGTTGTAATTTGTCATTTGTTGTCTTTCCCTAACTGTCCTTAAGAAGATGGCGGTGAGCTGCCTTCTTGAACTGCTGTAGCTCATGTGATGTAGATACATCCACAGTTACATTTGGAAGGGGTTTCCAGGAATTTGACCCAATCACAGAGAAGGAACAGTGATATAGTCCCAAGTCACAATGGTGTGCGGCTTGGAAGGGAACGTACAGTTGGTTGTGTTCCCAGGCATCTGCTGCCCTGGTCATTCTTAATAGTAGAGGTTGGAGGTTTGGAAGTTAGCAAGGAGCCCTGCTGAGTTAGTGCAGTGCATCATATAGCTGGTGCACACTTCTGTCACTGAGCATCAGTGGTGCAGGGATTTAATACTGAGGGTGGTGGAATGGGGGGAGGGGCACCTCACCAAACCAGCTGCCTGTTTTGTCCTGGATCATGTTGAGCTTGTGTTTTTTTTTGGAGCTGCCCTTGTTTAGGAAAGTTGAATTGTGCCGTCCACATAAGAGACCAGTTTTGACAGGACAGGGAGTGAGTTATTCCCTGCAAAATTCCTAGCTTCTGACCTACTTTTGGTTGCCAAGAATCAAGTTCTGCTCATGTGAATGCTAGCACAGTTAAGTTTCTGGTCAATGGCAATAGCAGGATGTTGATAATAGGTGGTTTGGCATGAGTAATGTCAAGGAAAGATAGTTAGACTCTCTCTTCTCAAAGATGGTCATTGCTCAGCACTTGTGTAGCATGAATGTTACATGCCATTTATCTGCCCAAATCTGAGTGTTATCCAGGACACTGACTGCTTCAATATCTAGGGAGCTGTGAATGGTACTAAACATTATGCAATCATCAGTGAAAATCCCACTTCCAACCTCATGATGAAGGGAAGATTATTAATCAAACAGCTGAAAATAGTTGAAGTTAGGACAATATCCTGAAGAACTTGGCTCTTGTGACACATTAGTAGTGTCCCTACCTATGAGCTAGGAGGCCTTTGTTCAAGTCTGAGCTGCTCCAAGTGTGTAGTAACATCTCTGGTCAGATTGATTAGGAAGGTACCTACCCTGAAGAATTCCTCAAACTTGAAATGACTGTGCTCCAATAACCACAATCATCTTCCTTTGTGTTAGGTATGATTCCAGCTAGTGGATAGTTTTGCCACGATTCCCACAGACTCTTGGGTGCTAAGAACCCTTGATTCAACAACTATTTAAATGTTGCTTTGATGTCAAGATAGTCTCTCTCTTATTTCACCTCTTTGACCATGTTTTAACCAAGGCTATTTTGAGGTGAGGAGCTGAATCTGTGTGAATCCAAATTGTATATCAGTGCAGAGGTTGTTGTAGAGCAACTGTCACTTGAAAGCACTATTGACATCATCATTTTGTTGAGGATTGAGAACAGACTGATGGTGTACTAATTAGTTGGATGGAACTTGGCTTGCTTTTGTGGACAGGGCATATGTAAGCAACTACTTACACAGTAAGATAGGTGCCAGTATTTGAGTTGGACTGGAAAAGCTTGAAACATAGCACAGCTAGTGGTGGAGGTCAAGTCTCTTGTAATATTGCTGTGATGTTGCCAGAGCCCATATCCATTCTAGTATCCAGTGTCATCAACTATGTCTTCATATCACCAGAAACGAACTGAATAGAAGCAGCTGAAAACTGTCAACTCTGATGTTGGTGATGCCAGGAGGAGACCGATCTGGATCACTTGCTCAGCACTTCTGGCTGAAGGGATTGTTTTAATGGCTGTTTGTCATGCAAGTCATTATTTTGTAGCCACACTAGGTTGACACCCCATTTTTAGGAATGCCCAAAGCGGTTCCTGTGTTCATTGCTGCCTTCTTAATTGAACTAGGGTTGATCCCTTGGTTTGAAGATAACGATAGAGCAGGAGATATACCAGGCCATGAAGTTACATACATTCTGCTTGTGCTGTTTGGACAAGCACAAGGTGATGTAGCTTGTTTTGAACTGTTAAATCTGTTATAAATCTAACCCATCAGCCGAGTGATAGGTCCACACGACACAATGACAAGAATCCTCAATGTGAAGACAGGACTTTTGCCTCCACAAGGACTGCATGATAATCACTCCTGCTAATACTCAATACTGTCATGGACAGATGCAACTGTAAAAGAGGATGATAAATTCAAGAACATTTTTCTTTCATATGGGTTCCCTCACCTTTGGCCACTGGCTCAATCTTGTAGCTATGTTCTTCTCTTGTTTTGTGAGAAGTGCCTTTCTGGAACGAAATTTAAAACAAGAACCCATCTGTATGTTGCAGTCGTTGTCACAGATCCCAAGGCACATTCTGAGTTTATCCCATCCAACCATAACTAGCACAGAACACTGCTAGTTGAGTTTGGAACAGGTTAGATAGTGTAGTGAAGGTGGAAGGTGGGAGTCTGGCAAATTAAACGGTTTTCAAATGACCAATGCATGGATAAAGTTTTCAGCAGTAGCGTGGATCAGATAGAATGGACATGGCTGATGCTACAAATTTTGAAATTTTCTCTCGATGATAGATAGTATATAGGGCACAAAGCTCTGCTGTTTTGGTTTGAATAATTTTTCAAAAGCTTGTTAAGCAAATGAATCAAACACAGGATGAAGAGCAGGCAAGGAAAGGTAATGTAGTATGGGGGTGCAGGAATGTTGATTTGGGACCACAATCAGGTCAGTTATAACCATAGTAAAACAGCAGACCAGACTCAGAGCCAAATGGCTTACTGCTGCTCCCAATTTGTAAGTACGAATGGTAGTCATAGGTATTTTTCATTAACAGAGTTCCAAATGTCATCTTTTGCATACAGTAATGAGAATTTGAAATAGTACTTGTCCATTGGGTGCCAGAGTGAGGGACATCTTGAGCTGGCTGAAAGGCTATTGGAGAGGGTAGGTAATGATCCAGCTGTGTGATCCATGTTAGGAAATACCAAAAATAATATGCTTGAGAACTTATTTGGAAAGTAACAGAAACCATGCGCTAAATTATAGGACAGATTCTAAAGGTTATAACCTCTGAATTATTATCAAAGCCACATGGAAATTGGCATAGGGATAAGCAGATTAGATAGATGAACATTTAGCTGAAGGAGTGGGGAAGAAGGGGGCCCATTTTATGGGACATTGATATCAATAAATGATCAATGTTGAAGGACACTGCTAGGATGAATTCCACCTGAATCTGGTTGGGACCGTATAGGATTATAGAATGGTTATAGTAAAGGCAGCCTTTCGCCCGTGGCATTGATGCTGGATTTCTGCGATATTTTTATTCTTTTATGGGATGTGGGTGTTATTGACTGGACCACCATTTATTTCCCATTCCTACTTGCCCAGAGGACAGTTAAGAGTGAAGCACATTGGTGTGCGTCTGGAGACATATGATGGCCAGACAAGGAATGGTCCTTCCCTAAAGGGCACGAGTGAACCAGAAGGGCTTTTCCGGACAATCAGCAATGATCTCATGGTCATCATTAAACTCTTATTTACAGATTATTTTGGAATTTAAAATCTGCCACCTACCATGGCAGGATTTGAACCCAGGTCCCCGGAACATTACCTTGGTCTCTGGATTAAATAGTCTTGTGATAATACCACTAGGTCATCTCAGCTGATCCCACTTTATTGTCTTATTTCAGTAATGCTGCATTTTTTTTTATTGAGACTATTATCCAATTTCCAGAGTCTTAGTGGAAAAATCAAGTAAGGTAGTCACAGAAACTTTAAACAAACCAATAAGGATTGTGTCTGTGTGTGAGAGAGAGTGCATGAGTGAGTGAGAGAGACAGACCGCGTGTGTGCGTGCTCAGGTGGGGTGGGATGTGTTTGGAAGAGGACGTGGTTCAGTCCAGTGAAAATGGTATTATAATCAATCCAAAAGAAATGAAAAAGAGTACACTTAGAGTTAGAAATTGTGCTTTAGGCACTACGTAAAGGAAAAGCTAAAAGATAGTAAAGTAATCAAATTAGAGGTTTGTAGCAAAGGCACTGTGGTTTTTAATGGGAATTTTAAGTTTCACATAGTTTGGATAAATAGATGAGCACATCAGACAGGTGGTAGTTTTCTTGAGTGCATCGAAGAGTTATGTGCAAAAATATGTTGCAGATATATGATGGAGGCTTGCTATACTAAAGATATAGTTCACAATTGAACAACGTGTGAATATTCATCTAAAACAACTGCAAGATGACTTAGTCCAACTTCGGGTTTGGAAGAGAGAAGTGTGAAATAGCTGCTAAAATTCTCAATTCAGGCAAGACTGATTTTAATATGGTGATACAGGGACTGTCCACAGTAATTTGGGCAAATCTGCTAATGGATAAAACTATAGTTTACTGGGAGATGTTCAAGTGAGAATTTATGATACATTGGTTTATACTCCTAAAGGCAAGAACTCAGTTTAAAAACAAAGCCTTGAATACAAAAGTGGTAACAGACAACACAAAAAGTAAAAATTACATTAAAATACAAAAAGAAACATACATCCTGGTCAATGGGAAAGGTACAAAGAGGTAGCATGGATTGACAAAACACAAGAGCTTGAGAAAAGGAGAACAGAAAGGAACTTGCAAGAAATATCAAAAGTAACAATTTTCTTAATATACTGGGACAAAGAAGGCTGGTCAGGAGCAAGCTGGGCCCCTTGAAAATCAATAAGTTATACTGCCAATGAAAATATGGAAACAGTGGAGATGCTGACTAAATCGGTTAAGAAGGCATTTAGCATGCATGCCTTCATTGCTCAGACCTTTGAGTATACGAGTTTGGAAGTCACATTAACGTTGTACAGGACATTATTGAGGCCCCTTCTGGAGTACTGTGTGTAGTTCTGCTGGCCCTACTATCGGAAGGATATTATTAAATTGGAGAGGGTTCAGAAAAGATTTATCAGGATGTAGCCAGAAATGGAGGGTTTGAGTTATAAAAATAGGCTGGATCGGCTGAGATTGCAGTATAGGAGGTGGAGCGGTGATCTTGTAGAGATTCATAAAATCATGAGGGGCATAGATAAGGTGAATGGCAGGTGAATGGGGGATTTCAAGACTAGGGGGCATATTTTTAAGTTGAGAGGGGAAAGTTTTAAAGAAGCATGCGAGGGACAACTTTTTTTTTTAAACACAGAGTGGTTTGTGTGTAGAATGAACTGCCAGAGGAAGTGGTGGATGCAGATGCAGTTGCAGTTACAACATTTAAAAGACTTTTGGATAAGTACATGAATAGAAAAGGTTTGGAGGGATATGGGCCAAATGCAGGCAACTGGGGCTAGTTTAGTTTGGTAATATGGTCAACGTGGACTGGTTGGACCGTAGAGTCTGTTTCCATGCTGTATGACTCTATGATGCTATAATTACTTTGTACCAGTGTTTACAGAACAGTACATCCCGGACATCCCAATGAAACTAATATTGAATCAGAGACAGGGTGCCAAAATAAAAGTTAAGAAGAAAATAGTGGCAGTTGAGTGACAGTATCCAGAACTGTATTGTTTCAATCCCAGTGTTTTGAAGGAAATAGGTGAGGACAATACAGATGCCCTTCCCATAATCTTCCAATGTTCTCTTGATTTGTATATACTTTGTTTAGATTGGGAAAATGCATATGCTACATTGCAAGGTGTGAGAAGAAATTCAGGGAATTGTAAACAAGTAAGCAAAACATCTGTTGTCAGGAAATTACCAGGGTCTATATGAAAAGACAAGGCACGTTCTCCCCGTGTCTGCATGGGTTTCCTCCCACCATCCAAAGATGTGCAGGTTAGGTGGGTTGACCATGCTAAATATAGTGTCAAAGGATGTGTAAACCAGGTGGATTGGTCATGGGAAATGCAGAGTTACAGAGATAGGGGCCAAATGGTCTGTTTCCACACTGTGGGGATTCCACGATGACAAGAGATTGAACACTTTGAACATTTTCAGTTGATCTAAGAAATTTACCAGCATGGACCAGTAAAAGATGAAGCATGCTTGATGAACCTGATTAAATGTTTTGAAGAGATTGAGAACGCCTATGTATGGAACTTGTACGGCCTTCCAGAAGGAATTTTATAAAGTCCCTCATGAGGGACTGTTTGTTAAATTTGAACTTTTAGATATGATTGGCTAGGAAATTGACTGAATGGCAAGAGAAATTATGAATTCTAGATGGATATTCCAAACACAGAACCATAGCATGGCCGTGTGTTGCAAAATTCAGCCAATCAATTCCATACCAGTTCTTAGCATTCACCTGCACTTTCTTGGCAGCTCTGCAACTGTTTCCTTATCTAACTTCCTGTTTAAGGCCACAACTAAACTTGCATCCATCATCCTTGCATCCTGCAGTGTATTCCAGGTCATAACCACTTGTTTTGAAAACAAAATTCTCCTCATTTTGACTTTGGTCCTCTCTATTGAGACCCTTTACAATCAGGAACAACTCCCTCAAATTTGACCTCAAACTAGTCTGTTCAGATGAGAACAACCTCAAATTTCCCAATCTATCCATGTAACTCAAGTTCCTCATCCCTGGTAGCATATTAGTAAATCAAAAAGTCCTTCAAATTCTTTGTAAAGCATGATGTCTAGAAATAAACAGCATATTCCAAACCTGGCCAAATCTAGCCTTTTCTTACTAACTAGGTTCATCATTAACTTATTACTGTTGTACACTGTGCTACTTACAACAACTTGAACTCATACATCCACTTTTTCTTTTGTCTTTCTGATTTTTTTTGCTTTCAGATATTTTTCTTTCCACACGCATTTTATAACTATACCTGGGAGGAAGCACGGTATAGATTTACCACATTTGATACTCCCACCAGGGTTAACTAATGGAGAGAATATACAAACCAGGGATGTTCCCTGAAATTTACAAAGTTAAGGAGTGACCAAAGTTTTCAAGACGTCAAGGGGAACACATAACCCAGATAGAAAAAAACTATTTCTGTTCACTGGGGAATCTAGGATGAGGCGGCAAAATATTGGTTTAAAAATTAGAGCCAGACCTTTCAGAAGTGAAACGAGGAAACATTTCTATGCATAAAATAATGAAGTCTGAAACAAAAAGGGGAATTCTTCACTGGCTGCAGTCATATCCAATGCGAAGAAAGATGATTGTGTCTGTTCCTGGCCAGCAGCATCAGACTCAGAACATTGTTGTAAGAATTCATTTCCATCTGCTCTCCTATATGTTCAGAAAAAGGCACGTTCATTTACAATTTGATAACCACCTCCCCATGGTATCCGATTGTTTTACCATCTCCAAATCCTCCACCATTAAGTTTTGGAGTTAAGCAAAAAGACATGATGGATCTTCATCATTGATCAGAAAAATAATTGGACTAGCAATGTAAATACTAAACCTATACTAGCAGGTCAGAGGTTGGGTATTTTGTGAGAATGACTGATTGCCTGACTCCTCAAAGTTCTTCGATCATTGAAAAGACACAAGAATGTGAAGAAATATGCTCTACTCCCTGGAAGAATGCAAAACTGCTGAACCAAATCCTGGATCTCCCTACCTAAACAACAGTGGATTAAAAAAAAAATTACACATTCTGAAAGGAGATAGGGAGGGGCACTGAATAATGGCCATACCTGCATATAAATATCCCATGAATGGATTAAAGAAGGTTTGGTTTTGTTTTCAACAATAAGTCATATCATGCCCTTTCAATACAGGAAAAGCATTTAGGAAAAATTTACTTTATAAATTACATGATATGATGGAACCCTCAAAATTCATTCTATTGCCAGTAACACGTGAGAATGGAGTACATCATTTTATTCCATTTCCTTTCCATTGCTGTTAAGGTGGTGGAATTGCACTCATTTGGTCCCATTCTTATCTGTCCAGTTGTAGCTGAGAATTACTACAATGGCTCGTGTTCCCACTTCTTCGCTGTTATTTCTGGTATCCCCAAGAATCAATTCTCAGCATGCCCCTTTTAATCTATCTGAATGGACTAGACCAGTTGTACACTGATGACACCAAGGTCTACCTCAATCACTTCTCTCAACCTCTCTATTCCCTCTAAATTGTCGAACTGTTTTTCTGACATGTTTTCTTGGGACAACAAAACCCATTCGCTTTCCACCATTTGCATTCCAGTCCCCTTTGGAAACTGTCTAAAGTTGAATCAGGCTATTCACAAACTTGGTGTTAATATTTAACCCTAAAAATGTGTTTCTGTCACAAATCTGCCTCATTGCTGAGACTGCTTTCGATCCCTTAACACCATTCCTGCCTGAGCTCATTCACTGCTGAAACCTTTACCCATTTCTTTGCTACCTCTAGCATTGAACATTCCAACGTGCTCCTTGCTAGCCTCCAACATTCGTTAGCTTCAATAAACTTCAGATCATCTAAAATACTGCTGTCCACTTTCTAAATCGAAACAGGCCCCGTTCATTCATGCCTCTCGGCTCATGGATGTCATCCAATCAAGCAACATCTTGACTTTAAAATTTTCTTCAAATCCTTCCTTGCCTTGATATAAAGATATCTGTGCATCTCCAATCCTGGCCTCTGGTATTAATTGCTCCACTACTGGGTGGCTGTACATTTAGATGTGACAACCCAAAGCCCTGAAACTGCCTCTCTAAACCTCTTTCCTTTGCTGCTTTAAGGCAATTGCAAAACTTACTCTTTACCAACAGCTTGGTCACTTGTCCTAATATTTACTTATGTGATTTGTGCCAATAATGCTCATGTGAAACAACCTGGGACATTACACTATGTTAAAGATACTATATTAGTACAAATAAAAACAAAGTGCTAGAGAAACTCAGCAGGGCTGACAGCACCACTGGACAGAGAAAGTTAGTTTTTTTTTTGAGTCCAATAAAACCGTTCTTTGAACAGAACTTTGAGTTCAAAAAATGTCATTTGGAACTCAAAACATTAACTCTGTTAAATAGAGGCACCTAAACACAAGATTATCACTAATAATTCCAATAGGGAGTTCAAGAGAAATTTCTTATCCCAGACAGTGGTTAGGACATGGAACTTGCTACCACAGGTAATAGTGAGGTAACTTGCAAAGATACACACAGGAGGAACCTACATTTACAAACAAAGTAGAACAAAGCATAAGGATGTACTGGTTAGATTATAGGAAAGGAGTGTTGGGTAAGTGGTGGCCAGGCAAGCATAAACACTGGCATGGGCCTTCTGGGCTTAAAACCTGTTTCTGTGCTGTGAATATTATACTAAGAGTGTTTCTGAGAATATTTGGTTAATTGCCTAACTTGATTAGTGTAAGCCTGACTGATGTCCTATGAAGCCTTAATGCAATATGAAATTTACTTGTACTTTCAGCTATTGGATATATTAATCATTCTAAAATACAACTATTTGCATTCAATTAAACATAAAAATTGATAACAGAACATATAAATATTGTAACTAAAGCAGAAATTGCTGGAAAATCTCAGTAGATCTGGCACCATCTATGGAGAGAAATCAGAGATAACGTTTCAGGGCCAGTGACCCTTCTTCAGAACTGATGGTAGATAGGAAAAGGATGGTTTTTAAGGTTAAAGTTCTGAAGGAGGTCACTAGACCTGAAACATTAACTCTGATTTCTCTCTATAGTTGCTGCCAGACCTGCTGAGATTTTCCAGCAATATCTGTTTATATTTCAGATTTCCAGCATCAGCAGTTCTTTCAGCTTTTTACATAAATATTGTATATACATACAATCAGAAGAGAAGGTGGATAAAGCAGCTGTCTTTCTCTGAACTTCCACCTGGAGGACTACAGACTTCTGTCAGGGAAGACTAGTCCTGGAACATTATCTCTTTGCACAATTCTCATTCTTCAAGGACTGCAGTTACTCCAACTCCTTCATTACTCAATGGATCTTTACTTTTGCTAAAAGAAAAACAAATAAAAACCGTGCACAAATCTTAAGCTTTGGAATCAGTAATTCAGTCTCAACTAGCAGCAATTCCGGAAAATGCAAACAAAATTGAGTAACAAATAATGTGCATCTGTGTTGTTATGCGTAAACTGTTTCTAACAAGCTACCATACTATGCACCACTGTCTGTTAACCAATTTTATTAACTGTAATTTTCTATAAGTAGCATCACCAGGCAACACATTTCACACTAAGGCATCAGGCTGATCCTAAAATATGCTTCAGAATATATCGAAATTAAGTGAAAATTCAAGTTATCCATCCTACTTTTCGGTATATTTAGTGGAAGGTTATAATCAGCACTGGCTACAGTTTATAATTTTTAGTTTGTGCTCGGAAAGTCAAACCACAATTCCCACTCATGAATATAGTGGATAAGCTTACTTACACAGAATGCTGCTTGAGTAAGAGAGCAAAGGGCTGCTATACCCAGAGAGTCTTAACTTAAACCTGCTTCGGGGCTGTGGGAGAACTGGATGATAGGGCTAAAGCAAATCAAAAATAAAATATTGGAGAACTTCCATAATGATTCAGTGGGTCACACTGATGCATGACTGAACCATAACATGCTTTCATCCCTGAATCTATGCTGAATGAACCAATGTAAATAAAAATGGCAATGGACTTAGCACAATTTAGTTTCAACTTCTCTGGGATGGTAAGTGAGAATAATTGATCTGTATCCTAGCATATGAATGTTAGCCAGCAACGTTTGATGGCGACTGTTCTCACTTTTGAGTTCTTACTAAAACAATACCTCCAGCTGAAACCACTGTGATAGATGGGAACAAATTAAAACAAAACATAGCATTAGCTTTTTTTTTTCTCAACCCAAAAAGAAAACTCGAAAGGAGAAGTATGGGAAATTTTATCCTTTCCCACTTCTTTTACTATGTCCTTTATGTAATGCCCCAAAAGGTAAAATCATTGGTTACTCTATTTTGAATCAAAATAGGCACTGTTATAAAAACGGAAACATTACTTCACTATAAGCTTTCAAACAAGTCTGAAACAAAACATTAAAACAACTGAAGGTTTATTTGAAACATTTCTTCTTCTTTATTTTGCTATTCAATGTTCAAGTCTTTATTCACTTTTCTAAAACTGGATTCAACAAAAAATTTAGATCCAGTCTTTTTAAAATAATAGGTGAATAGAACACAAAAATGTTTTTCATTTACATTATCACACATGAAAGATTGAATTCTGTAGTATCATCCAAAATTTGTTTACTGTAGATGACAGTAATAAGCTCTGCATAAGTTTGTTTTTATATATTTTTATGCCAGTGGCAATAGAAGTCCTAAAATCACTCCCTTGACAACTTCCTTCCTACACCAATAATCTTTCCATTCTCTCAAGAAAGGGCATTCAGACATTGTTACTTTCTTGGCAAATGATTAGCTTGATGTGAAGGAAGGACACTGTTTTAATGGAATTGGTTCACAAAATGTCTCTGTGTGCAGGCTAAATTCCAAGAGGTGCATAATTAAAATCAGATTTACATAATTATCAAAACCATTGCTCAGCAAATCTCAGAATTCTTGGAGGAGACAAGTCCTATAGGTTACCTTGCCATGAGCTTATAGACACATCAACTAAGGTTCATCTGATCACTTGGCTTTTGGGTGCTTCTGAACACATTTGAACTAGGCAAACAGAATACACATCAAAAGTTAATCTATGGGGCTCTCCTGACAATGACAATTCCTTGCAAAAATATATAACCATGCTTGACATAACATTATTGCTAAACTATCATATTTCTAGTGTTTAGCATGGTAACGATCATGTTCTAAAATGGCTGGAATTAAATGTCAAATGAGCACACACAATAAACAGTTGCTAACACATTTCTCAAAAAACATTCCACCAGATGGCACTGTCCTGAAAGATATTCAACGTTAATTATGCACTAGATGGCATTACATGTTTGTCGTTTAATACACTTTTCTCTTTATATACATGCGTAATAATGCTCCAGATAAGCTGTTTTCAATTCACATTCAAACTAGCAGTTGTGTAATTATTACTTGCCTACATGAGAAATATGCAAATTTTGAAGTAAATCATTGAACGTGAAGTACTTTGAAATATTTGGGAGACTTGGTGGGACTGAAAAAAAAACACAAGCCTTTTTTCTTTCATACTGCATTTGTGGTGGATTGTTAACAATGATAATGTGTGGATGTACACGATACATTGAATTTATGACAGTCAGAACTCTATGCTTATTGACTTTATTAGACAAAATTTGTCTTTTTATTAACAGACTTCCCATTATTTGGAAGCTGCGGACAATGTGAAGGCTGCAGCTGGAATCAGAATTTGAGATGTTAGGTTGCCGCAGTGGTTGATATGACAGACCAGGCATTGAATTTGGAGCCAAAGGGGAGAAAAAAAAATAGCAAATCAATAGACAGAGTCCAGTAGAAAGAGGTTTAGCAGTGGAATACTTCAGCTCAGGAGTCTCCTTTACCTTTTGCAGTTCCTGTTACCACAAATCTACACAAACTCTTCTTTCTTCCTTTAGAATCCCACATTAGTCTTCATCTTCCACGTGAGCAAAGAGTGCCATTTCCAGCTTGTGACCTTAATACGCATTTTACTTTTCTTACTACTTCTACTTTTGTTTCACCATTATACATGACATTTAATCATCTCTTGCTCTGCACCTCATCACAGATTATTTATTGGTTTCCTTTATACACTTGTTCTTTGCCTTCACCCCTCCATATAAGCTGTTCATATGTAAACATTATTGAACAGCAACATTAGCTCTACTCTCCTCTATCCACAGATGCTCCATGACCTCCTGTTATTACAATTTTTGCTGCATTCCCATTTGAAGTGGGACCAATTTAACAATAAACTTTATTTGAATGTGTAATTCGTTAATTCAGAAGTGATAATGTTATTAAAAATACTATAATGGACCAGTTCAACTTGCATAATGGATAGATCATAGCAAAACATTCCTGGGGTTTGTTTTTGCAATGTCATTGGTTTGTTGCATAAATATTAAAGCAACTGATTAGAATTGTTTTTGACACAATGTGACTGTGTTACTCAAAATTAATTTGTTACCAAGAAATAACACTACTTTTGTAATATAGTGATGCTGAATTTCTGCATGAATCATTTCACAAAGAGGATATAAGAATATTCCATAACTTACCTCTCAAGGCTTTATAAACCAAATAATTTTTAAATGTTTTACATTATAAACTTTTAATTCAATTACGAAAAAAAGGTCAAATTTCAAGATTGACACTATCCTGGAGAAATTTCTTTAGCACCCCTCCACCAATGCAGCAGTTCACCAAGGGTCACTGATCAGCAGGACTTTCCAAGGCAATGAGCTCTACCACATAGATGAATAAAAGGCAGCAGGCATGTGGAAAAAAAAAAGCACCATTTATAAGTTGCCTTAAAGTTATGCATCATCCTGACTTGGAAACATACTGACACTTTATCCACTGATGCTGGGTGAAAAGCCTGAAACTCCCTCCTGTAACAGTACTGTGGATACACCTTTACCATTGAATTGCAGCAGTTCAAGAAGGTGGCTCATCACCACCTTCTCAATGACAGTTAGGGATGGGCAATAAATGTTGACGTTGCAAACAACATCCCATAAACCAAAAAAACGTCAGCTTTTCTAATCCCAGGAGTCCTTTGAGCAACCATTCATATTTATGTTGTTATTACAGAGGTTGGAGGGCTGCACGGTTTCCTTTTCTAGTCTCACTCCTCCATTGATCATAACAAACTTTAAAATTAACTAGGTTGGTAATATGGACAATTACTTAAGTCAGATGTCAGGTTCAGTACTGAAAACAAGTCACTCAGGTTTCTTAGTCATAAAAACAAATGACTGATTTGTTACCAAAACCAAACTTAATCAAATAAAGATGCAAAAACTCCCCTCCAGAGCCATCTGCAATCCGACCCCACCACCAAAGACATCTTTCCCTCCCCACCCTTATCTGCTTTCCGGAGGGACCACTCTCTCCGTGACTCCCTTGTCCGCTCCACACTCCCCTCCAGCTCCACCACACCTGGCACTTTTCCCTGCAACCGCAGGAAGTGCTACACCTGCCCCCATACCAGGCCCCAAGAAGACTTTCCACATCAAGCAGATGTTCACCTGCACATCTGCCAATGTGGTATACTGCACCCGCTGTACCCGGTGTGGCTTCCTCTACATCGGGGAAACCAAGCGGAGGCTCGGGGACTGCTTTGCAGAACACCTACGCTCGGTTCGCAATAAACAACTGCACCTCCCAGTCGCAAACCATTTCAACTCCCCCTCCCATTCCTCAGACGACATGTCCGTCCTGGGCCTCCTGCAGTGCCACAACGATGCCACCCGAAGGTTGCAGGAACAGCAACTCATATTCCGCTTGGGAACGCTGCAGCCCAATGGTATCAATGTGGATTTCACAAGTTTCAAAATCTCCCCTCCCCCTACCGCATCCCAAAACCAGTCCAGCTCGTCCCTGCCTCCCTAACCTGTTCTTCCTCCCACCTATCCCCTCCTCCCACCTCAAGCCGCACCTCCATCTCCTACCGACTAACCTCATCCCGCCCCCGGACCTGTCCGTCCTCCCTGGACTGACCTATCCCCTTCCTAACTCCCCACCTACACTCACCTTTACTGGCCCCATCCCCGCCTCTTCGACCTGTTTGTTTCCTCTCCACCTATCCTCTCTTCTATCTATCTTCTATCCGCCTCCCACTCTCTCCCTATTTATTTCAGAACCCCCTTCCCCTCCCCCTTTTCTGAAGAAGGTTCTAGGCCCGAAACGTCAGCCTCTCTGCTCCTATGATGCTGCTTGGCCTGCTGTGTTCATCCAGCCCTGCACCTTGTTGTCTCGGATTCTCCAGCATCTGCAGTTCCTACTATCTCTGCAAAAATTATTGCTAGCTTGGATCATGTATGCGTATAACCACCCTTTAAAAAATTCATAAGTCTGAAGAGAAATTTTTAAAAAATAAAAAAAAACTGAAAACTCTACAGTGTATTAATCTTAAAGTTCTTTGGTTGTGTAGCAGTTAAATTTATAAGTTTAAAAAAAAAGATAATTTATGTATTGTTCCAAATGGTGTTTGGATTCTGATGTTATTGGGCATACACAAGCTGCTGAACCAGGTGTCTTGATGGAATAGTTACAGCTGGCTGAATTCCCTTTCCTGGAGATGATGGAGTAGGTTCCAGTAAATCCTTTTCCACGAATCCTCCATGAGTGATTAGGAAGAAAATTTCTATTGGGTGTTCAGCTCAGACTTTTGTTGAGAAGAGTTACAAATAAAGAGGAAGGGAGCAATAGGCTGTTCCTCTTCAGGCAAGTCATATTACCTGTGTTCAAAAACACAATTGTCTTATCCTACTCAAAAGCTGGGCCATGTAACCTTCCTGTGAAAGTTCTCTAAACTGTACTGACTCCATCTGAGCTCATTACTCCATATAGGTGCAATATTGTTCCTGTTGTATCCAGTGCCTTTTCTTTAGTTAAATATACTTTGTTTAGAATTTCAAAAATAATAATTGGATCACATTATTTAAGAGCAATATGTTCATAAAAGATTTTAGGTTCCCATTTACTTTGCTTCTAATGCATTCTCATACTTTTATTTTTCTCATCTTATTCCATTTTTTAAAAAAGATTTCCAGTCTACCTTCTGAATTCATCTTGTTACTCACATTTTATAAGTGTTACAACTGCCCTTAATCCTTTATGTCTTATTTTACTCTCAGTTTTGGCTCCTGTATTTAAAAATGGATATATTGGCATTGGAGGCAATTTAAAAAGGAGTCATTAGATTACTTCCTAGGCTGAAGGGGTTGACTTATCAGGAACAGCTAAACAGGATAGGCCTTTATTCACACAAATTCTGAGAGCGCCTGACAGGGTACATGTTGAGGGAATTTCAAACTTGGGACATAGTTACAGAATAAGAGATTACTAATTTAAAACTGAGATGTGAAGGAATCTCTTACCAGAGGACAGTGAATACTTGAGCTTCTCTCCCTCAGCTAATTGTGGAGGTTAGATCACTGGAAGTATTTAAAGAGTAGAGGGATTGACTTTTGAAATATCGGGGATTTGATTCATGCTGAACTGGCAAGAAAGAGGAGTTGAAGCCTGGGGCAGATCAACCACAATCTTGTTGCATGGTGGGGCAGGCTGTAAGGACTGAATGGCTTACACCTGCTCCTATTTCTTAAATTCTTGTGCTCTATTTCTTGAGGCCTCCTGAGGACTCTAATCATTTCTTTCTCTGTACTTGCTCTGTAAATGACCACCTCTTCTTTGAAGGCTTTCCAATTACTCTGATTCCAATTCCTTTTTAAATCTCAGAAGTTATCCCTCCTTCTGTTAAATACTTCTGTGATTATACTTTGTCCTTGTTCTTAGTTATTTTAAACCTGATGATATTATGATCACTGTTGCCCAATCACCTGCTCACAAAATTATACCCCTTCCCTTTCCCAGAATGAGATACAATACTCCCTTCCTCATTTGGATAGAAATCAAAGAAAGCTTTTGTATAGAAATTTTAGGAATTTCTCTAATTCTGATGGAAGATCATAGACCTGAAACTTGAACTCTGTTTTTCTATCCATAAGATGCCAGATTTGCCAATTATTTCCAGAATGTTACATTTTATTTTTAGGAATTCTGTTTGTTTTTTTCCTTTGCACTTTTACTTGTTCGTATAAGGATAAGTGAAATCCTCCATTGTCATTCTGCTCCAATTTTTACAACTTGTAATTAATATACAAATTTGCTCACCTACATCCTTCCCTTTTATTTCAGAATTTATAGTCCAAACTATACAGTGTAACAGCTCCTCCATTGTTCTTTAAATCTAGTCAAATGGACATGGTCTCTGACAACTGACTACAATATTCTTTTCCACTGCTATCAGATTCTTTGATCAATAGTGCCAGTACCGTTCCTTTTTTCTTTCTTCTTTACCTTTCCCAAAAACCTTGCTGCAGTCCTTGCCCAGTCCTCTGAGCACTTTGTCTGTCACGTGTACTCCATTAAGGTGCCCATTCCTGACCAAAAAATCACTAATCTCTTCCCCTACAAACAAGCACTTTCTCATGAGGACACTGGTCTCAGCATTATTGGACCATAAGATGTAAGACAGAAGTAGGCCATTTAGCCCATGATTCTGCTCTGACATTCAATGAAATTGTGGCTGATCTGATAACCTTCAACTCCACTTTATTGCCTTTATCCTATAACCCTTGATTCTCTTACTGATTAAAAATCTGCCTATCTTAGCCTTGAATATACTCAATGTCTAGCCTCCAAACCCTCTGCAATAAAGAATTCCACAAATTCACTACCCTGAGAGAAGAAATTGCTCTTCACGCATGTCTTAATCAGGCAAACCCTTGTTCTGAGATTATGCCCTCTGTCCTAGGCTCTCATCCAGCAGGCGGGGGGGGGGGTGGAAATCTTTCTGTAATTGCCATTTCAATCTCTTAAGAATCCTATATGGTTAAACAATGTCTCCTTTCATTCTTCTAAACTTCAACGAGTACAGGTCCAACCTACTCAGTCACTCCTCATAAGACAGTCCCTTCGTGCCCAGGATTAGCCTAATGAAACTTTGCCGGATTGTCCTCAATGACATTATATCGTTACTTGGATAAGGGGCCTAAAATTGTTCATGGTGCTCCAGCTATGATCCAACTGGTGTCTTGTACAGTTTTAGCAAGACTTTCCTACTTTTATACTCCATTCCCTTTAAAATAAAAGTCAGCATTCCATTTGCCTTTCCTATTATCTGTTGAACTTGTATTTTAGCTTTTTGAGACTTATGTACAAGATTCCCAAATTCCTCTGTGCTGTAGCTTTCTGTAGACTTTCTCCATTTAAATACAATTCAGCTCCACTATTCTTCCTACTCAATTGCACAACCTCATATTTTCCCACATTATATTCTAAGTTTTTGCTCACTCAATTAACCGGTCTATATCCCTGTCAAGACTCATTGTGTCATCCTTGACGCTTGCCTTCCAATCTATTTTTGACTCATCTGCAAACTTGGCTAGGGTACATTCAGTTTCCACATCCAAGTCATTAATATACACTATAAATAATTGTGGTCCCAGGACTGATCTCCATAGCTCTCCACTAGTTGCCATTCTGAAAATGTACCCCTTTTCCCAACTGTCTGCCTTCTATTAGTTAATGAATCCTCTATCCATGGTAATGTACTACTTCTAACACGATGGATTCTTACCTTATAAAGTAGCCTAACATGTGGTATCTTATCAGACACCTTTTGAAAATCAAAACATATTATATTCACTGCTTCTCCTTTATCTATCCTGTTTGTTACTTCCTAAAAAGAACTCTAGTATATTTTTGAGGCACTATTTCCCCTTGGTAGAACCATGCTGACTCTACTTGGTCATATTATGTATTTCTAAATGCTCTGTTTTACATCAATTATAATAAACTCTAATATTTTTCCAAGAATAGACATTAAACTAACAGATACACAGTGACCTGTATTTTTTTTATCTCTGGCAATTTTCCAATCCTCTGAGACTTTTCCAGAGTTTAAACTTCTTGGAAGATTACTATCGATGCATCCACTATCTCTGTAGCTTCTCTTTTAACAGCCTAGTATGTATGTCTTCAGGTTGAGGAGAATTATCAGTCATTTGTTTCCAGAGCAGTTTTTCTCTAGCACAGTAATAGTTATTGTAGTAATTTCTTCTCCTCCTTTGCTTCTTGATGATCTAGTAATTTTAGAATGCTATTAGTGTCTTCTAAAGTGAAGACTGATGCAAAGCATTTATTCAACCTCACTGCTATTTCCTGGTTTCACCATTATTATTTCCCGAGCATCATACTCAAAAGGGGCTTATGTTAAACTTTGGCCTCTCTCTTCCTTTTTATAAATGTAAAGGAAGCTGAACAGGTCCTGCCCTGAAATTTATTCCAATGCTCACAGAATCTTTTCTGCACCGTTTCTCAAGTCATAGAACATCAGATATTTACCGTGTTATTGCTTTGCTTGCTTGTGCAAGATACTGAGCTTAATCTGACAGTTTAAAATATTTAACATCCTTCTTTTTAACTTCCTCCGTCACCCCTGAAGTTCTGCCTTCAGGACCTAGATATATACAAACACATTAATTATGTCATTACAGTAACCTTTTGTAACTAGCAGACAATTAACAGACACATATACTGGGGAACACTAATAACCAATATAATTCAATTTCAGTTTATTAGTAAAACTATAAGTACTGAGATTCTATAATTCCATATTTTATAAAGGACTAGTCTTACTGAAGTGGTGCAAAGCTTCATTGGGTAATTTCATTAACTCAGTGGAGATGTTACTCATAAACAAGGAAAGCCTGTGCTTAAGTCAAAAGGGCCTCGAGCTAGACTCACCTAAGACGGTTAACTAGAGATGTTTTAAATTTATGTGACAGATTTATAGATTAGATCTTTTTTTCCCCCCCGGTGGACATTTCTCTGTACTGGAACCCTTTTGTCATATTCTATTTTTTCTGCCCACCTTATTTAATCCTCTTGTACCCTTACATTTGACTAGTCTCCCCTCCTTTAACATTACTCAAGAAAATAAGCGGAGTAATTTGGAGAAATTGATTCCTGATTGCACGTCTGTCAAATGATATTCTCTCACTTAGAAGTATTACATATAACAGTGTGACAACTTTGACACTGACAATTCTCTTCACAGCATCACCTGCAGGAGGAACAGCCATTATAGGTACTTGCAATGACTTTCAATGAAACATGCACTATTATCATACTAATTGGAATACATAAGATTAATTACCTTGAAACTTTGCAATGTAGCCCCTGTATTGCACAATCTCGTCACTGTATCCACAAAATTGTTTCATGCTTTCCAAAAATGTGTCCCCACTGTCATTTTATTTCTCAGTACCCTGAAATAAACAATTCAAAACAATTTAAGAAAAAGGCCTATTTCTCAGTTGTATGACTAAATGCATTCAAATAATCACCTTTATGCCTTTTACTCTCTTTTAGGTCTCCTCTTACCCTACAAGTCTGCACTTTGAATACATCTTTTTATTCTACAACTATTAAAATATAATAATCATATCAACGCATTTTGGGTATGCTCAGTTTGCAAAATTTTCCAGAATTTAATCTGTATATCAACAGGACATGAATTTCTTTACTTTAAGAAACAAAAACTTCGAAATAAATTCAAGTTTCCAAACATTCATTTCGGCAACTTACGAAGTTAATAAAGATATTACAAACTTGTGTTGCTGATAAATTAGATAAAAAGTTGCAAATCATAAATAGTTCAGTCATGATGAGAAACACATTTAGCCATAAAGTTTTGTCCTTACATCTTCTACTTTATTAAAATTAATGTTCATACATTTGAAGACCAGAACAAAAAACAAATTAAATAGCTGATGATGGTGCCACTAGAGCCTATTTTACCATACAAGAAGATCACAGCTAATAGGTTTCTGATTTCATCTAGTTGCTTTGGTTCTATATCTCTCAATATCATTGAGAAATTACAAATCTGTCAACATCATTTTTCTTTAAGATTTAAAATTATTTATCCAGTGAGACACTACAGATTTATTTATGGGAGCGTTCTCCATACTTCTAATACATTTGGTGTGAAGAAAGGTTTCCTAACTTGACTCCTGAATGACATGGTTCTGATCTTAAGCTTATGTCACCTTATTCTAAATATCCTCCACCAGTGGAAATGATGTACTGCTATTAACTACCTGTTCCTTTAAAATCGCAAAAAAGAAGTTTCAAAGCATCCTCCAGTTTTCAATATTCCAAAGAATATAAGGCAAGTTGATGTGATTTCTATTCATGATCTAATCCATTTGTCCCCGATATCATTCTGCTAAATCTCTGTAGCAGCCCTTTCAAGAGCAATGCAACTTTTCTAAGGTGAGCTGACCAATTATTCAGAGGTGGCTACTGGTTGAGTCTTATTTACCCATCTTCATTTTTTTTAAAAATAGCATTCAGAAACATATCTAACCTCTTAACTATTTCAATTATCCTTAGATCTCTAAAACAATCTCTCCAATGCCTCAAAATCAGGAGTCCTCTCATAGCAATCATATTTCCCAAAACCTGCCCAGAATATTTTACACTTCCCTTCAAGTATGACTCACCAAAAGTAACATCACAGGACATTTTTGTAATTATGTAACAGTTATTTTATGAGACATTGTGACACTATAAGAATGAAAGTACCTAGCATAATGCCACCTCAAGCAGCAATATATACTGTGTCAAGGCAGTTCATAGGAGCTTTATTAAGCTAATAATGACACCAAGAAAGAGATACAAGGCAGACAACCAAAATCTTTGTCAAAGGGATTTGTGTCAAACTTCTTTAACGGAGCATAAGATCAGCATTCGTTTCCTATTTCTAATTGCTCGTAAATTAATGGCTTACTAGGATGTCAGGGCAGTGTGGTTCCGATGTCACATGTAGGCCTGATCAGGCAAGGACAACACATTTCTTCCACTAAAGGACATGAGTGAACCAGAAGAGTTTTTACAATTGATGACAGTTGCCATTGTCACAATCATGGCAACTAATTTAAATTCCAGATTTATTAATTGAATTTAACTTCCACCAGCTGCCAAGGGATTTGGATCCATATCGCCAAAGCATTACCCTAGGCCTTTCAATTACTAGAAGTGACATTAAATTGTATTAAAATAAGAAAAGAGAGACAGACATTGAGGGAAGGAATTTCGGAATGCAGGGCCTGTACGGCAGAAGGCACAGTCTCAATAGTGGGTCAATTAAAATCAGGGCTGCTTAAGAACCACAGCTTAGGAAGCAAGAGATTTTCTAGGCATTGCAGGGCAGAAGATTACATAGACAGGGGAAAGAAAAGGTCACAGGCAGTTTTAACAAGAAAGGTCAGAATTTTAAGATGGAGAAATTTCTTTAACAGTAGCCAATGTAGGCAAGTTAGCATAGGAACATTAGGTAACTGGAAAAGTGCAGGTTAATATGCAAACGGCAGAGTTTTGGATGGCCTTATGTTAACGAAAGATGCAACATTGGACTGGCTTGGTACAATCATGGCTAGATAAAGAGAAATGATGTGGATAAAAGTTTTTGGAGTAATTGAGTCCTGACAGTGATTAAGACGGACAAGGTTAGAAAGGGGAAAAAAAAACTAGCCAGAGTAGTTAGGAAAAACAATTCCTACTGGCAGACAGTCAACAGCCAAAAGAACAAGGCTAACATGAGGAATAACTTTTCCTTTTTTTAAAAACTTAAGAACATATTGAAGATCTGGAAATGCACTACCTGAGAGTGGTTGACGCACATTCATTGGTGACTTCCAAAAGCGAATTTCAATAATTATCTGAGTAGAAAAGTTTTCTAGGGCTATGTGGAAGATATGGTTGAGTGGAACCAACTGAGTTGCTCTTGCAAGAGCTGCCACAGACAACAGGCCAAATGACTTCCCTCTGACAGCGCCTTCTAAACCTGCAACCTCTACTGTTTGGAAAAAAGGCCGCAGATGCAAGGGAAAACCCCCACTTGCAGGGTCCACTCGAAGCGACACAACAGACTGATTTGGAACTACGGTCACTGATCCTTCACTGCTGCTGCGTCAATATCCTGGAGCTTCTTTCACAATTGCACTATGGGTGTCCCTACATTCCAACAACTGCACCAATTTAAGCAGTTCAACAGCATCTTCTCCAGCACAATTTGGCATAGGCAGGAAGTGCTGGCCTAGCTAGTATTGCCCACATCTGAGAATGAACAAAAATTTATATTTAGGTAGGATAATAGCTACCTAGGATTATAGTGTTGACCAAAAAGAGAAAACTAACACATAATAAGGTAACAATTGCTGTAATGTATAGTGCAAATGATCATTCACTTAAAGTGAAGAAAGAAATGGCCCCAAACACACTTTAACAAAAAGTCATTTTTTTCATTGGATACAAAAAATAACTAGAGGAGCATTCATCCATTCCAGAAGGACCGAGTGCTACAGCTCCAGTTAAATCACAACATGTAACTGCTTTAACATTTTGCTTAAGTTTTGATACTTTTGGAGAAAATAATTTCATTGTTGGAATCTGGATATAAATTAAAAGGACAACAAAGACTAAAATTCCGAGAATACATATACAAATCTTGGCTTTTAAACAGTAACAGTTCTAATGGTTAGTAATCAAAACACAAGAGCGAAAAGTTCAGATTATTCAAGGACCTGGCACCACAATGCACCATGCCATAAATTCAAACAGAACAAGGACCACTATTTAAAATTTATGAAAACTAAAAATCTAGGTCAGTTTAGGAAAATAGAAAAAAAAAATACAAAAAGATGGATTTTCTCCAAATAGCTCCATTCCCTTAATTCTCCACACTTATCAAGAAAAGTAACCTAATTCATTTGGTAGAAAGATTAATGGTGTCTTACGAAAAATAATGTGTGTAGTTCGAATGTTGAACTGTTTGCATGTCTTCAATTTAAGGGACCTGCTCAGAGTTGAAAGTGGCATGGCTCATCTTCCCTTTATTAAGGTTAGTCAGGGACTTCATAAAGATTCATGAGTAAAGTAAATTCTTGTCCATATTTTTAACTACCAAAAAAAAAAGAAAAGAAATCCAGCAATTATCTACTGGGTATTATTACCGTTTAAATATCAGACCCCAATAATCTTTGGGAGGATATTTTAAATTCACCACTCCATGTAGTTAGAGCTAGAATGCAGTATTCTAGAAAAAAAAAGGGCATAAGTCACTGGACTGAAAGTGTGATGGGCATATAAGTACTCCAGAACAAACTAAGCTGAGCAGAGGTGCTACATCATTATTGGTTTATTTATTCGAAGAACATGCAGACTTGTCAGCTCCCCTGAATTGAACTTGTAGGGAGACAATAAAGGAAGGTAATATTACATTGCAGGTGGTAATAATAGGGTGTGTGAGGTAATATTAGGTTACGTGTGTTTGCTAATATACAGAACCGAACATCCCCAAAACAGGATGCCAGATGGTGAATGCATCTTGAAATTGCAAAACTTTGTAATAGGGAACTGGAACTCGAGGGCTTTAAATCAGAGCTGGACAATTTTGTGGAGATGAGTAAGAATCTCACATCAAACGTATCTGCTCCCTTGTGTATACGCTCAAATAAAAATCCTTCTTACTTGAATCCTGCAACATCAAGGCTGGTCATTTCACCATAACAGCCAGAAGACACTCAGGGACTGAACTGACAGCTCGAGTGTGGGAGAATTTTAAGGGTTAATTTTTACTTAAAATCTTGTTCAAACATTAGCAGCTATTAAGTCAAACTACTCAAAATCAAGAAAGTTAAGTTTCATTCTGGCCTTAAGGGAGGGTTCTCCTTGCTCTCAGAGAAGCTCCAGCTACGTTACAAGTTGGCTGCTTTAAAACTAGTTTTCAGGAAATTGAATCAGAGATAGTGGGAACTGCAGATGCTGGAGAATCCGAGACAACAAGGTGCAGGGCTGGATGAACACAGCAGGCCAAGCAGCATCATAGGAGCAGCGAGGCTGACGTTTCGGGCCTAG